AGATATAATATGAGATGCATCGATATTAGATTTCCATACAAATCATCATCAATAAATTTTTAACCAAATTCAAAGACTATTCCAATCAATCAAAGTCTTTTTTCATTTGCAGCGATTTGGATCCGCATGCTCTGCGTGACAGACTGTCTTCTCTGCCAGCGCTTGATGAACTGATACATGCATAAAAGCAATGGGCATTTCAACCAGCCCAGAAATGGCGAGAGCCCTCTCGCACGTTGAAGGTGCTCTCTATCAAACTCCATAGTGAACAGCCCCCAAACTGAACTGGCACCCTCCAGAACGTAGCTCTAAGGCAAAACGGTAGTGCAGCATGTGTTTCTTTGGGGGAGGAGGGGGGGGGTGCAGGAAAAGTCAGGAAGCACAAGTGGGAAGCAAGAAGGCGGAGAGTGAGGGGAGGAAGGCAAGATGGTCGGGAAACAAGGCGGGCAACAGCGGGCAGCAAGAGGCAAGAAACATGGTTTGGAAAAGGCCTTGAAATCCTAGACCTGACATCCTGGACTCTACGTCCATGAACCCTAAACCCTAAACCCCAAACCCTAAAACCCTGAACCGCTAAGCCTGCGATACAGCGTGAGCCCCAGAAAGCTTGTCGGACCTCTTGGAGCCCCCGGCCCAACCCAACCCTGCCCCCACACTTGTTTCTTGAGGGCGTTTTGGGGCTTCGATGGTTTGCTCAGCTGTGCTCCCTTCTCCGGTCCCTGGTCTTCCAGAGGCTTGTAAAGCTAGAATGCGGTCCCTCATGTCCAGGACCAAGGTTTGGAGAGAAGTGACCACGTACACCTTGGAGTGTTGATGCTTGTTCAGTATGTTCGCGAGACTCTGGCATGCCTTGTGTGTAGTGGTCATGTATGTTTTCATGACGCTTTGAATTCTCAGCTGCCCTTGGGGGTTTAGGGATGTTTCGGGTTTGAGGGTACACCGCGGTCCCGACTCGTAATTCCCGACATCCCCATGGTTCGCGCTTGGAGCATAAGTCCTCACGTTCGCTAATTATACACCTTCAACGCCTGTGCTCCGCGGCCCTTGTTCGGCCAACACCAGACTCACTCCAGGATCGAGCCTACTTTGGGCTCGATCACGTGTTTTGCAGAGTCTGGCATTCCACCCTTACGGAGGCAGAAACCCGAAAGGTTCCTGCCGCTGAGTGAACAGGCAGCACTGTCGATCTGTGCGGACAGGAAAGCGTCGAAGAAAAACAACTCTAAAATTTGGACCAAAGATGCGCGAGCGGAACCGGCATGAGCCGCCTGGGCTTGTATATAACTCGAATTGGTTCAGAGAAACTCATGCCCCCTGCGCAGGATCGCAAAACTTTGTGCGAACCTGCCTGGCCATTCTCTCCTGCAAAACAGGTCGAGCTGCGAAGCTTTGCTTTATGTGCTCTTGGGCTCTTTCCAAGCTGTCTTCGAGAACGTCCACATTCTCCAGCCCCGTGCGACCACGCGACTTCAGCAGCATCCTTTCTAGGTTTCGCAGGCCCCGCTACGAGGGAATACTGAGGGAATCTTAGGCGATCTCAGGCACAGGCTTTAATGACTTGGAAATCAACACTAAGTCGAGCCAAGCATCAGCTCGGAGAACATCGTGGCCAGCTGCTGAATAGTCTGCCCCGTCAAGCCCTCGTCCAGGCTGCGGTTCACTGCTCGGCCTGCAACTTCGCTTGTGGAGTGCACTCCACGGGTTCAGCAGCCGCATATCCCAAGCATGGGCCCCCAAACATCCCCAACAAAAAGACCACTTTCAAAAAGGCCCCCCCCCCCCCTCCCCCCCACGAACATTCCGCACCATCAGGCTGAACCAGGCCTACTGCAGCGTCCAGGCCATTCTTGCAGAGCTCTGGCCACTCGGAGGGGAAGCTCGGGTCCAGCAAGAGCTGCACATCGTGGAGACCTGGCAACTCTCAGATTTGCTTTAAGAAACTCCCCAAAACCCGAAGCCCCAAAACCCTAACTAAGACCCCTCAAAGGGACCTTAGAGCGGCTTAGAAGGTCATGGCAGGGCACTGAGCTTGATCAGGGAGTTAGAGTCCACGAGCTTCGACACCAGCAGCCCGGCCAAAGGAAGCATCTCGGACCAGGCGTCGTGCAGAGCCTCGAGAGACCGGGAAAAGTGAAAATCTTCCTCCGCCCTCCTCTTCTCCAGCTCCCAAACACCCCTCAAGCACTTCAGCTAAGCTGTTCCACCCACTCCAGAAAGCAACACAGATAGCTTCCTTTTCTCAAATCTGAGCAAACCTGCAAAAGCCCTTTGTGTGGGATGCGGGCCTGGTTCGCACTGGCTTCGGCCTGGACCAGCCGCCCGTAGGCGTTTCGCACTGGCGCGAACTGTGCCGCACAGTCGAGGTAGTCCTGACACACCGGGGTACCAAGAAGCTTCCTTGGCTTGAGAGACTTCCCTCTCCTGCTTAGTCTTAAATCTAGGAGGTCCCTCAGAAAGCGCTCCTGGAGGAGCACCGCCGATGACGTGTAAGTGGATGCGTAGTCTTCGGCCTCGCGGTCTCAAGAAGCCCCCTTCTGGAGCTCATGGGCAAAAACATGGGCAAACTCTCACAAGGCAGATGCTGTAAGCTTGGGTGAGTTTTGCCGCCCCCCCCCCCCAACCGGCCTTCTCCAAGTACTTGTCAAAGGCAGCGCGCAAGGCCCACCATGTCGAATCCAGCTGGAGCAGTACTTGCCAAACCTCTGAGCCCTCAGCCTCTGCATCCAGGCCTGCGCTGCAACGTCGCTTATCAAGCAGATTTCACAGGGTGTCGCCCAACGTAAATACCCACCCGCTAGGCGTCCATCAGAAGCACGCTGAGTGTGCAGTTGTCAACCCCTATGGACGACCTGGGCAGGGTGCGTACGCGTTAATATTAACGGATGCTCCATTGTTTGTCGCCATTCCCCGTCGAACCGAGCTTGCCGAACGAAACAGTTTGGAATGACTCCAGGTTTCACTGATCCGGACTCTTTGCACCTCTTGGCAGGGGAAAAAAGAAAGTACAGAGCTTCGAGGGCAGCGACCTCGACAATTCTAGCCAACCCTCATCCCCGTGCCAAGATATGAAAGCCACACTCCAACTTGCAAGCAGCACGTTCTTGCCTACAGGCGGTTGCTATACAGCAAGCCCCTCGGGAAATGATGCGAGAACAAGTCTGGCTCTTCTTCCAGGCAGTGTGGCAGGGCCTGCAGAGCCTCCTTCCAGGAGCTGCCGATTGCTCTGCGATTGCGCCGCGGATGCCAGTCGCTGCTGGCGCTGCCTCCATCGGTCAAGTTGCGGAACGTTGGCATCTACCTCGCACTTGCGGTGGTTTTGTTGTTTTGTTGCTGATTTCTGCGGGCTTCAGGCTTCCCAGGCCCGAGAAGCTTCAGAGACAGGGCTCGATGCGGCCCCGAATCCGCAACATAGGACGATACACAAGCGGAAACCGCGCCTCGAGATGCGGCCTCGGTGCGAGTAGACGCCCAGGAGGTGGCTCCTCAAAAACTAAGCCCGTGTTTCTGCGGGAGGACGATCAAGGATGTACGTGTCTGTCGGGCTTAGAAGGTGCACTGAGGCTCACAAGCCTACAAGTGGAGACTTCGGAGAACCAGGCAGCAATCTTTCACAAAAGAGTCCTGCTGCGTGCCAGCTCTTGCATACTCTGGGCCGCCCTGCCCACGTTGGCAGCCACGGCTGCGCTGGCACTCAGCTTAGTGCCTCGGGCAACGTGTAGCAGTGAGGCATGCAGCCGCTCCACGTCCTCGACGACCTCTGCTGCGCTGGAGCGATTCTGGAGATCTCGAATAAAAGCATCCAGCAAGTTTTGGGAGGCCCTGCGCCCGACTTGGTCCAAGGGCGCTGAGACGAGGTGCTGCACCCGGCCCATTCCGGCGAGCAGCGACTCTTTCACCTCAACCAAATTCGGCTTCTTCTTGCCGGCGAGCGCATCCACCTTGTCGCCCACGAGGCCCGTGTAGTACTGCATCAGGCGATCAAAGTTGGTGTCCAGGACGTCCACCGCCTCCTTCAAGGATCCCAGAATCGCTGCGTCGCCATCTTGAACCGCCTCCCTAATGCAGTGAAGGTCGCACCAGATGCGCTGTATCGCAGCATGGTCGCCATTGCAATCGGCATCTTTTGCCTTATCGTTGTTCTTCTCATACATGTCCGTTGAAATCGCCATTTGGTTGAAGACTTCGTCACCACCAACCTTCAAAGCATCCTTGCATATGTCACCGGGGTGTATGATGACCCCAATGCCGAATGGGGCAGCTGCGTCGTCAGGAAGAGCCTTGCAAGCCAGGGCAATCGGCTCCCCGAAGAATTTTCTGAAATTCTTGCCCTGCTCGATGTCCCATTCCTGAGCGGCAGCAGCTAGGGATAAATGGCAATTTGCCCACAACACGAGGACCCTTAAAACCTGCCAAGCCCCCCAAGACTTGGCAGAACGTGCGCCCATGCTTGGAGGGCTTAGAGCACCCAACATCTAGACGTGTTCCCGTTGTCATGGGGCCCAGCGTAACTTTCAACTTGGTTGCAGGATTGCCTGGATTGTGCTTTTGTTCAATGAGCATGACGACAAGTCATCCTCAGCAGCACCGGTATCGCCGTGATCGTCCGTTTTGTTCTCGTCATCGGCATCATCAGCAACTGCATCTGCGGCATGTTTGTCATTTGCTTCAGCATCATCATCATCATCATCATCATCATCACCACCATGGTCATCAGAATCAGCTTCGTCATCCGCCGAGGCCCCAGCTGGAGGCGCTCGGGGTAAGGGAACAGCCCACTGCACAGCGACCTTGTGCCCTGGCCAAGCTTGGTTCAGAGGCCCATGGTCCCCTATGCTCCGCCCCAGGTTTTGCAGGCTCCCGGAGCTCTATAGGGGCCCCCGTATGTAGAGTCTAACTAACAGTCAGTCGGTTCCTCTTCTACGACAGCCCTTTTAATGAGTCAGAGGCTTCCCGGGATTCTTGGATCTCCCTTTTCTCTGCACCCCTGCCAACCCTCCCCATACCTAAACCTGCATCCCGCGTTGGACTGCCGAAACTTCGGCGCAGCGTGCAGGTGTCCCGTCATCGGCATCATCATAACCGTCGTCAACATCATTGTCGCTGAACCCACGACATGGTCTGTTCTAGCTGGGCTTGCCATGTATGAACTATAGCCACGTCACTTGCATGCTGCAGATTCAGCCGGATGACACTTGAGACGTGGGGTTTTAAGCTTGATAGTTTGAGTGTAGGTAGCCTGGCAACCGCCGGACGACCTTGCTTGTGCTTGACCTGACTAGTGGAATTTTAGAGTTCGGTGCCAGACTATCCATACCGGAAGCAACATGAGCACAAAGTACATGAAACTTCACCCCCGTTGGGCCCACCCCCTCCCCCCCCGCCACCAAGGCCACGACACAACTCAGGGTCAATTAACATTCCGTAAGGCTACGTACCAGGCTCCAGCTCCCGGCAGGGCCGGAAAACCTGGTTCATCCGAGGCGCTCGATGGTTCAAGTTGCCTGATCGCTTGCCTTCTCTCTCCCAACAGCCCACGATGTTCTCGTAGCTAAATCCCGCGCCCCCTTAGCTGATCTGAGAGGTTGTCGCACTTACGTTAACTTATATAAGTGGGGGGCTGTCCGGTCTCAAAAAGCGGCTTTAAACAGAGGGAGAGGAGGCCCAGGAAGACAGGGCACCCTGGCCGTTCATGCTGTAGCTTTGATCGGACGAAAACTTGGTGCTCCCCCACCATTGCGCGTAGCCTTTGCCTTCCTCCTGATGACCCTGATCCGTCAAGTACTTCTTATCCATGGGCGGCGTCTCAGGCGCCTTGCCTGGCGGTGCAGTGCTAAATTCGTGGCACATGTGACATGGAAAAAGTTGGGCCGGCTTGGAACATTGAAAAGGTTCAGCCGGGCTCCTCTATCTACAAGTTTTGTCGTTTTCGATGCCGCGGCTCGAATAAAACTAGCCGGGCCTTAAACCGAGTTCCCTCTCAAGAGCCATGTTGGGAACACATGCTATGTCTTTTGCAGATGTCTGTTCTCAAGGGAAACCCTAAACCCAAGCCGGTGTGTTTAAGTGGAACATAGAATGGCATACTGCTACAAATCTACTACACAGCCCTACGAGCACCCTACAAGAGAACAAGTGATGCCTGTCACGTAGTAGCAAGGGTTCTCCGGCGAAAGCGTCTTGCCCACGGTCTCCCAGTCAGGCACTGTCTCCTTGCATTCCGCCGGCAGCTTCGGCGCCAGGGCATGGAATTTCACCAGCGCAGGCTTCTTGCGATTCTTTTTCGTCGGTCCTGCGCCCGCAACTCCCGGAGAGAACTAGGGCAACTAGGGATCTACGCTTGTTCAGGTCAAAGATGACTATGCCGGCATAGATCCCCAACGGTGCTAGTAAGAGCACTTCCACAGGAGCATGGTTTGCAACATCTTGTAACTCAGAAAAGGGGGTAGGATGTTTCGACGTTTCGGGAAGGCCTCTTGCGCACTACATTCGTACTATGAAAGCGAGCTCCGTGTTAAAGGTTGCCTCAGGGCGCCCTCTTCACGTTTGCGGGGATTTCGGGCCCTGACATGTGGACGGCGCCTAGGCGAGAGCGTCACGAGCCAGCAGAAACACCGAGAGGGTCATGGACTTCGAAGCCCCGCACACGTGCAGATGCGCTTGTGGCTTGACAGCGAGACAACTACCCTCAAAAGCAAGAACCCCTTAGTGCACTGTGTTTGGGGAACTGAATCGGATGTCGGCCTGCGGACGGCGCTGCCCCAAACTGGCCATCAAAGTCCGTGACTGCCACAGCTTCCCACGTCTCTGCGAGGAGGGGGCTATTGACATCGACAGGGTCCGCTGCCTCACTGGCAGCACAGCCTTCGCCAGCCAAGCACCACTGCCCAGACGTCAAGTCGAAGGAGAACTTGCCGCGAAGCTCACTCGTCCCTGGAGACTTGAATGAGCTGTGTTGCGCATACTCTAGCCTCCCGCTCTTATCCCGCTGACTTGGGCAGTACACGCCCTCCCAAGTCTTGAGACGATCCGTGCTGTCCGCCGACGATCGGGGAAGGCCCAAGACCTCGACTCGAGCTGACTCGAGGCACCCTGTCATGGTGCCGAACTACAGTCATGAAGTGTGCCACGCTTGCTTAAACTTCGGTTCCTTCCCCCGCCCTTTTCCCCATCGCTTGAACCGCCTGAAGAAAAGGCATGAAATGGAGCCCTTCGTTGATTCGGGTAACGGCAGGGGTTCTTCGCTACAATCGGGGGGGGATGATGGCCCCATGCCTCGAACCTGGGGCCCTGGCCAAAGGTGACACGAAGCAGCACCTCGGTCGGGGGCTTTCGCGAGCAAGGGAGGGAGTGAGAGAGAGAGAGAGAGAAAGAAAAAAAAAAACAGAGAGAACCCTAAAACAAAAAGAAGAAGCCTACGTGTGCCTAAGGCCCGGGCCGTGGCACGATGCTCCAGCCCGAGGAGCCTCGAGATTCGGCTGGGCTGCAGCTGGACTGGGGCTCAGGGAAACAGAAACGGCGGCTCTCTGCAAGTCTCTTGAGATCCGGGCCCTTCTTCAGGACAAAGGACTGGAGGGCCGCCCCCTTGGGGCACGCAGCCTCCAAGCCCTCGGCGCTAATGGCGACGTTCTGGCAGGAGCCCAAGGCTGTGGCACGAACACACGTGTAGGAGAACTGGCCCTGCCCGGATCTGTACACGTAATGGAAGGCGCTCAGCACCGTCCCGTCGGGGCACTGCACCTCATACTTCGCCGACTTCGTGCCAAAGTCGATCCAGCCGGTGGCATAATCGCGGCTGGTGCTGATCGGCGTTGTGCTGCAAGGCAGCTGCTTGCCCTCCAAGCTTACCCCCGTCAAGGCACCATGATTGGAATCGCTGCATTCGCTGCTGACTTTGCAATTCGGCCACTGGTCCGGGGAACACTTGCCGTTGACCTTGTTCTGAAACTGAAGCCGCGCCATCATGCTCTCCCTAAGAGCCTTCTCGTTCATGGCCTGATGCTGAGGCAACCCCCCTGCAGGATTTTGACAGGCGCCAACGGTCAGGCCGAGCGAACCGTTCGCCTGGATCGTGGTGACCTCAACACAGGAGTCGGAGCCTGCACCTCTCAGCTGGAAGGAATCGTCTTCTGCGCTCTTGGGGCTCTCCGCGGTGAAGTATGTGTTGTCAGGCCAGGTGATTATCAGGCAGCTTCTCCAAGCGGTCCGCATCTTCCCTTCTTTTCGGAACTGGAGCAAGCTCACATCCGTCGCCAAAAAGAAGCTCACGCGGTCTGGGCCCTCTGCTGCGGACCTGGGGCAGAACTCACCAGGACCAGGACCACCAAACTCACCGTCGATGATATCGAGAGAGGCTGTCTTGCACCAGTCGAAGGTGGTCTCTTTCAGTACCAAGTTTCCTCCCTCCCTGCTTAAGCAAGACACGGTGTCCGCTGACTGCCAGCCTGACAGCCCTGTATGGTTGATACCAGTGCACATCCATGAATAGCCCTCCCAAGATCTGCAGTTGGTCACCGGCGTCTGCACTCTTTTGACTTGGAACAACCGATCCGCATGGCAATCATCGCCACTTGTGAAATATCCGATGCATGTGCTGGGCCAGTCAAAGGCCAACGGCATGTGCCTCGAATCCGGGAGAAGCGCTGCTTGATGCCCACCATCCACAATGACTTGCATCTTCACGCTGGGGCTGAAATAGAGCTCTTGTCGGTGCTGGGACTGGTGGGTGGCGTAGCCAGGCCGTACCAGCTGCACACAGGCGCCACAGGCAAACTCCTGCAGCGCCTGGCCTTTGGGACCAAACCAGCTCCCTGCAGCGCAAGACACCGTGTACTTGTCCGGCACCTTTCCGGGCATGGCGGCTGCTGTGACTGGTGCAAAGTGCGCGGACCAGCACGCGACGCGCAACTGCTGGCCAGAGGAGAAGGTCTCGGGTAACGGCCGCTTCTGCTGCCAGCTCATATCATCCAGAACAGCGTAGTCGCAGCGGTAGCAGTCCTGCACAGGGGCAACAAAGTTCCGCGAGAGCCATGAGCGCCACGGAGGACGAGTCAGAAACAAAGGGAGGGAGGGTAGCAAGAAAGAGAAAGAGAGACAGAGAGAGAGAGAGAAGAGAGAGAGAGAGAGAGAGGGAGGGAGGGAGGGAGGGAGGGAGGGAGAGGGAGAGAGAGGGAGAGAGAGGGAGAGAGAGGGAGAGAGAGGGAGAGAGGGAGAGAGAGTAGAGAGGGAGAGAGAGGAGAGAGAGGGAGAGAGAGGAGAAGGAGGCGAGAGAGGAGAGGGGAGAGAGGGAGAGAGAGGGAGAGAGAGGAGAGAGGGAGAGAGAGGAGAGAGAGAGAGGGGAGAGAGGGAGAGGAGATGAGAGAGAGATAGGGAGAGAGGGAGAGAGAGAGAGAGAGAGAGAGGGAGAGAGAGAGAGAGAGGAGAGAGAGGAGAGAGAGAGGGAGAGAGAGGGAGAGAGAGGGAGAGAGAGGGAGAGAGAGGGAGAGAGAGGGAGAGAGAGGGAGAGAGAGGGAGAGAGAGGGAGTGTGCGAGGGAGAGAAGCGGGGAACCGGACAGAGTGAGAGTGGAGCAACACGTGCACTTGCGCCTGCACCGGGCCGCCAAGGATCAGCTGCCAGTCGCACTGCCTCGCCAAGTCCTCATAGGGGCAAGGGCCTCCGGGAACCGAAGCCTTGGTCGGCTCTGTCCCAGCACCGAGGAAGCTGCGGCGCAGGTAAGAACCGAAGCACTTCGTGGGATCGGCTCGGTGGCAAAACTTCCCTGTGCGGGACACGGCCATGAGACTGCCCTGGGCATTCTCGGTTTGGACCAAGAATCTGCATGCACTGTACAGCCTGCACTGCTTCTCCCCATGGAAGCTACCAGCCCAAAAGAAGCTGCAAGCTTTCGTCTCACAGTAGGCCTGGCAGCGGGCTTCATCCGAGCCGTACTTGATGTCCTGCAAGGACTCCTGCGGGCACATGGGGCCCCCTTGCAGGAGTCGGACGGCAAGCGGCCTGAAGGCGTTGTTGCTTCCCGGCGGCACCTGCTGGAAGCTCTTGCTGGTGACGGGGGCAGAGGTTCCTCGGGTGCAACTGCAGAAGGACTCTAGTGGACTCCAGGCAACGTGAGACAGAGTCTGAGAAAGCGCCTGGCAGAAAGCACGCCAGGAGGATGATTGTATCGAGAGAGAGTTGGATGTAGATATCTCGAAATGCAGCTGAGCTACCCCAAGACTCCGGGAAGCACTCGCATGGGTGCAGGCTGTAATCGTCCGGGGTCGAGGTGCTTGGGTCGTCGATGAGCATCGCCTCCTGTGAGCTGCTCAGCTCCGCTTCTGCGGAATCGACGGTAAGATTAAGGCCTTTGAGGCTGCAGCTGGGGCTTTTGAGGGAGATGCGCATCGCATCTTTGATGATCCCCTCGAGAGCCACAGCCTCTGTCCCGACGTTGAAGACTGTTTCGACCAGGCTCGGCGTCGGCTTGGGCGGCTTGAGGCATGCCAGCTGCTTGCCATGAAGCTCGATGACCTGGGAGGTGTGGTTGTCAAAGTCCCAGGATGGGTCGGGCGTCCTGAGCACCAAGGACCCACTGTTGCAGCGATGCATGGGATCTGCCTCCACAGCCTGCAAGTAGAAGGAGCCTTCGACGGTTAGGCCCGTTTTTTGGTAGGTATAGCCTACCGGCTCTCCCGTGGACGGGTCGATGCCACGCGCCTCGGGGCAATAGATGCCCTGGAACAACCAAAGAGGATTTTTGCTCGCGCTGGTCTTTTCAAGGACCAGGCAAGTGCTTGCTTGGCTGCAGTTGCCGATCTTCTCGAAAACCTTCTCTTTGCTTAGTTGGAAGCAGTCGTCTGCTCTTGGCGAGCTGCAAGGCGCCAGGAACTTGCAATCAGCTGTCTCGGCGACATAGAGGCCGCAGTGGGCACTTGCCCTGCAAGTAGCTCGACACTGGCCCTCACCCACCTTGCTCGTCTCCACGACCTGCCACCATTTTTCCTTCATGGAACTCTCCGGCTTCCAGCAGACGTCATCATCCACCTGTACTGCAATCTTGCCCTTAACTGGCTTGATCGTCTGTCCCGCTTGCCACTCGTAGTGGCCCGAGACGGTGCACTCAACGTAAATGTGCGCGCGCTCCCTCGCCGAAACGCTGTAGAGCTGGTCGATAGCCTTCGTGAGATCGGCATCTGGAGCAGCTGTGAGTGTGCCTGTGGCTACGTCCAGGGTGAAGAGGCGGAGACCGTTTATCGTGGCAAGACCGGTCAGCACGTCGAACGACACACTCAGCCCGCTGGGTTCTCCTCAGAAGTATGGGCACTCAAGAAGTAACGTCGTGAACAAGAAGGAAGGTCGTGAGAATTGACGTGGAAACGCGACCGCCTTTGTAAAGCCCACAATGTCCGCCGAGAAGCTGACGCTGCAATCGGCAGTGAAGCGGGAGGGTGCAACCCGACCTCCCGGCACAGATAAATTGCCGAAACAAGACCCCTCCTGAATCTACCAAGTTTCAGAAGGCCGCTGGAGACCACCAAGACCAGGCTGTAAACTGCAAGGAACACCCTCCTGAAAGAACTACTCAGCTTAGTCTTCCCAATCCTGTTGAGTCCGACAGCCAAGCAAATCTAGCCCTCAAGTCCCAAACTTCGGCCTTCCGTGCCCCCGCCGTCCCGGGCTCTCAGGCTGGGCGCAGCCCTCCCCACTGGGACGGACCTTGCAGAGCCGCGTTCAAAGCCCGCTGCTGCGCTTGCTTGTTGCTGGTTGTTGCTAGTGACTGCTAGTGCTGCTTCTGTTGCTGCTCCACAATTCAGGTTTGGCCAAAGGGCACGCTTTCGCCGGACTTGCCGCGGAACCCGCCGAAGGAGATCGAGGTCCAGAGCTCGGGAGCCAGAACGACCACCTCAGACGCGGGGTCTTTCTGTTAGCACCAAAAATATGCTGGAAGCCACGGGTAGGCCACCCTCAACTTACTCCTTTGCACGTTGCAAGCTCATATGGATATCGGTGTGATCCGGCCTGCGCCTCCAAAGTTTTTTGCTCGTCCACCAAGACTTCAACCTGCAACCGTAGCGGCTTGTTTTGAAATGGTTTAATTGGATAGTAACCTAATACAACCGTACTTATCACCCAGCTATAACTACAGGGTTTTTTTAGTGGGTTTTCCTACACTTATAAGTGGTTACGAAGTACCCTGAACCTCCAAGTATTGCTTCGCGGCAACTTCATATCCTACACACTGACCCTAGTCTGCGCCTGACAGATTCCACCTGGAGCGGAAGGAAGCCCCGGCAGCGTCAGGGCAGTGACCCCGGCACCCTGGATGCATTCAAAGGGATTGCTTGGATGATGTGTGGGGGGGGGGGGGGGTTCCGAAATTTTGGGGGTGCCTTGTTGGGGCCTTTATTGCAAGGGGATCGTACTAGTTTTGGGGGTCTGCGGAAGTCCCAGCGAATCACTTGGCCTGTAGCAGCTTCGCAGCATCGGCCCTGAAGCGCAGATCTGCGTTGGCGTTCGTCTGCTCCTCTCTTTTGAAAGTCAGGCCAGGAACCCTATCACGCCCCTCGGAACCAGCAAAAAACGCGAATCAGGTTCTAAAAAACAAGACTTGGATCTTCCAATCCGTTGCTGAACATGTCCGGGTTCTGCAACTCCACACTGGGTTCCTCTCTCACTCTCACTCTCGCTCTCACTCTCACTCTCGCTCTTGCTCTCGCTTTCGCTCTCACTCTCACTCTCTCACTCTCACTCTCACTCTCTCACTCTCACTCTCACTCTCACTCTCACTCTCACTCTCACTCTCACTCTCACTCTCACTCTCACTCTGTCTCTCTCTCTCTCTCTTCCGCGTCTACGTCGACGTCCCAAAAAATCCTGCATCGCGTTCAGCACCTTCTCCGGAACGCACCGCACACGCGAAGTAATCCTGACAAGTGGGCCGTCGCCGCGAGAAAGGCTGACTCTGGCCTGTCGTAGGGCACCCACTTGTGCATTCCATCCAGACTCTCCTCCGCCATCGTCCTGGCGCAAAGCTTTGTGCTGTGCTGCAGTACGCCACAGCCGCAGCTGCACTGCTTTTGGACCAGCCCACGCCTCACTGGCCGTTCGTCGCGTCGTGCTGGGAAGACTCCACCCTCGGGCGGGATCACGAGCACGGAGCTCTCGTATGCCAACAAAGTGCCTGAGGCACAGTGGTCACCGCCAAAAGGCGGCAAAACCCGTGAAGGTGTGTTGCCGACATGCCTGTGACCAGCAGCGGGGCCGAGGCATTGAAGAGACCCTGCACAAAAAGGGGTCATGAAGCCATGAGGCCTCCGTATGCCTCCGTGTGCGGCTCAGACCAACTCAGTCCTGGTGGGCGGTGATGGTACACTTCACCTGGAAGCTCCTTGAATCGAGGAATGACATGTGTGACATGGGCAAAAACATTCGCCAAAGAACTCTCAGCCTCTGCTGCGGCCTTCTAAAAGGAAACTTTGCCGAGTCGCTGCTGGAGCGCGGAGCCGCAACCCACACTCTCACAGCCCTCAACCTCGGAAAAATGCAGCAAGTGCCCCCCTTGCAATCCATTGTCAAACAAACAACCTTCCAGGGGCTCTGACGTTCGAACCTCCTTCTCTGAAAGATACTTCTCCCTAATTAAACCCTAAACCCTAAACCCTCATCTTCCAAACATTCCCCCTCTCAGGCCGGCGCTAGCTCCAAGGCGCCCGTCGTGCCGTTCAGGGTCAAGTTGTACTTCAGCAGTGGGCACTTTGCGTCCACCGAGTAGCTGGACCTGACTTGTACCACTCATCTACATCATGTATAGGCAGTCTTCAGGCAGCCTTTGGGGTCCCGGTCAAAGACTCCGCAACGTTGCAAAGCAAGAAGCGCCGTCCGCGGCAGAGGAAAGCCCCTCACACCTCCAGATGGGGAACAAAAAATTGTGGTGTTTAGAAAAGGGAGGGGGCTGAGTCTCCGAGACTCCGTGAAGGGACAGGTGGGGCCCTCAAGTGCCCCCCGACATGGGGGCCTAAGCCGGACACCAGCGGCTCGGCGTAGTAGCGGAAGGGCGTGGCCGACCTGAGGCCGCCCCCGCACGCGCAGCAGGCGTCGTTGCTGGAGAGGCCGCGGAAGCCTTCTTGGAGAAGAGCGTCTGGGAAGCCCAGCAGTTATGATGCATTGTTGCGCATGTTGGTGCATTGATTCGGGCAGCTTATGCTTATGCGGCACCTACCATGCCTGTGCTTGAAGAAGTTCGCTCCTGCTCTCATCCGCTTCCCTCTCCATCAGCCCTGTGTAGTGCAGTGACATCTTCTGGTTTTTACTCGACCCGAAGCTGCTCTTTGCATCTGCAGCCTGAGGTCCGCACGGGTGTCGCTGCACTTTGCATTGGGCATCGAAAGGCCCTCGCAGGGATGGGGAAGAAGTATCGCATGCCTACATCGGCAAATCCCGTGGATTCGATGAGTCTTCTTCCGACTAACCGCGTCCACGGCCTTTAACTCCCCCCCCCCCCCCACATGCTTCGTGGTCTTTGGCAGCGCGAAGCAAGTCGCGCCCTGGGGATCAGACCAGCCCGGCAAGTCCATACCTGTCAGGGGGACAAGCAATGACCATAGCTTACTGTGGAGTCGGGTGTGCCCCCTCGCACAGGGCATGGGTTTCTGAGGCCCCTTTGGTCATGGCCCACATGGCTGGCATCGTCCATCTTCCAGGACGAAGCCACCCAGGCATCTCGCACACGAGACTCCTTGCCAGGGGCCGGTGGCTGTTGCATTCTAGAAGTACATTAAATACCTACGCCAAAGACCAGGAACATGAAGAAACCCCACGATGGAGACGCCGAAAGCTTCTCGCTTCCAAACCGAAATCCCACCATTCTGAGGGCCTCCACTCATCACACTGGCACAGCCGGCGCAACCCATGGCATAGTGCGGACAGCACAACTTGTGTTCCTCCCACTTGAAGCCTCCCCAGATCGGCGTGCCCTCGCCATTCGAACAGAAGGGCGCCGAAGTTCCAGTGCCTGAATCGAGAAGTCCGAAACGCCCGGGGCCCTCCACGTGCTCAGGCGCCCCATGGGAGAAGCGGGGGCCGGCGCAGGCTTCGAAGTGGTCACCATCCGTACTCAGGGCCAGGCGCCACAGCAGGGGCCAGAACCAGAAAAAGCGCATGGCGCCCCCCAAGGTGCATGCGACGAAGATACGAGCACTGGAAAGCTTGAGCACTTTGCAGCTTCGGCACCCGAGGTCCAACTAGCAGATGCGCGGGCGTGCGCGGAACAGAGGACCGGAAAAAATCACATGGCAGATGTGTCAAGACACATCAGCTCCAGCCACATCCAATCACCAACTTCTGTGCTTGGGTTTGCGGCTGCTGCCCTTGAAGTCCAAAGCAGCAGCAAATACAATTTGCACAAGAAGGTGGCAGAAATGTCGAAGCGCAAGCAACAAGCTAATCTACAACTCCCAATGTTGTGAAGGTGTGTTTTCATCAAGCGGCATGCGAACCAAAACGCATACTGGCACGATCTGGAAGACACAAAGGAAGCCTGAATATCAACATCCCAAATCCCAGCAGCGAATTTTCATATCAGTATCGTTGATGACAGTACTCTTCACTAGCTCTTGCCACCAGCAACTACAGACAGACGCTGCAAAGCCCGTTCGCGAGGCAGCCGGAGCCTTCCAATTGGTTTTGGCCTTAGGATGGATCCCAACTGGCACCCCCCAAGACCCCTTCTTCCATTTGACTATAGCACCGCCCATGACCCTTTTGATTTGCCTGTAGCACCGCCCAATTCCCATTCCATTTTCTTATCGCACCACCCATGACCCTTTTCATTTGCTTGTCTAGCACCGCCCAACTCCCATTCCATTTGCACCCAAGACCCATTCTATTTGCTTATAGCACCGCCCATGTCATGTGCCTGTAACACCGCCCAATTCCCATTCCATTTGCTTATAACGCCGCCCAATTCGCATTCCATTTGCTACAATCGCACCACCCGCCCTTTCCACTTCTGTTGATTTGCTTGCGACGCCCACTTCCCATTCAAATTGCTTCTAGCACCGCAAAGACTCCTCCCATTTGCTTATAGCACCGCCTGTAACCTTTTCATTTGCTTGTAGGCCCGCGCACCTCCAATTCCGTTCGATGTGCTTAGACCACCGCCCAAGACCCCTTCCATTTGCTTTTACCGCCCCATTCACATTGCATATGCTTACAGCCCTACCCAACACCCCTTCCATTTGCTTGTAGCACCGCCCATAACACCATCCAAGACTCCTTCCATGTTTGAAAGGTACGCCCATGACCCTTTTCATTTGCTTGTAGAACCGCCCAATTCCCATTTCATTTGCTTATAGCACCACGCTCAAGTCCCCTACCATTTGCTTGTAACACGCCCCGTGACATGGCTCTTTTGCCTGTAACACCGTGCCATTCCCATTCCATTTGCTTAGAGCACCGCCCTAAACCCCATTCCATTTGCTTATAGCTCCGCCCCGTCCATTACGCTTTTCATTTGTTTGTAGCTCCGAAACCCCCGCCGTTTGCTTATAGTGCAGCACCGCCCAAGACCCCTTCCATTTGCTTATAGCACCGCCCATGACCCTTTTCATTTGTTTGTAGCACTGTCCAAATCCCATTCCATTTTCTTATCGCACCGCCAAAAACCCCTTCCATTTGCTGCACGCCCACCCTTTTCATTTGCTTGTAGCACCGCCCAAGACCCCTTCCATTTCCTTATAGCACAGCCCATTACCCTTTTGTTTTGCTTGTAGCACCGCCCAAGACACCTTCCACTTCCTTACAGCACCGCCCATGACCCCTCTCATTTGCTCATTGCACCGCCCAAGACCCCTTCCATTTGCTTATAGCACCGCCCATGACCCTTTTCATTTGCTTGTAGCACGGCCCAAGACCCCTTCCATGTCCTTATAGCGCCACCCATGACCCCTTTCTTTTGCTTGTAGCACCGCCCAAAACCCCTTCCATTTGCTTATCGCACCGCCCATGACCCTTCTTCATTTGCGTGTAGCATCGCCCAAAACTCCTTCCATTTGCTTATAGCACCACCCATAATCCTTTCCACTTGCCTGTAGCACCGCACATGACGCCTTCCATGTGCCTATAGCACCGCCCATGACCCTTTTCATTTTGCTTGTAGCACTGCCTTCCATTTGCTTATAGCACCGCCCATGACCCTTTTGATTTGCTTGTAGCATCGCCCCAGAAACCTTCCATTTGCTTATAGCACCGTCCGTGACCCTTTTCATGTGCTTGTAGCCCCTTCCATTTGCTTATCGCACCGCCGATGACCCTTTTTCGTTTGCTTGTAGCATCGCCCAAGACCCTTTCCATGTGTTTACAGCACCGCCCATGACCCTTTTCACATGCTTGTAGCACCGCCCAAGACCCCTTCAATTTCCATAAGACCCCTTCCATTTTCTTATCGCACCGCCCCTGATCCTTTTGATTTGCATGTAACTCATGAAAAGGGTCATGGGTGGTGCTATAAGGAAATGGAAGGGGTCTTGGGCGATGCTACAAACAAATGAAAAGGGTCATGGGCGGTGCTATAAGCAAATGGAAGGGAAGGGGTCTTGGGCTACAATCAAATGAAAAGGGTCACTGCCCGTGCTACAAGGACATGGAAAGGGTCTCGGGCGGTGCTACAAGCAAATGAACAGGGTCATGGGCGGTGCTATAAGCAAATGGAAGGGGTCTTGGGCGATGCTACAAGCGAATGAAGAGAGTCATGGGGGTGCTGCAAGCAAAATGAAAAGGGTCATGGGCGGTGCTATAAGCGATGGAAGGGGTCTGCGGTGCTACAAGCAAATGAAAAGGGTCACGGGCGGTGCTATAAGCTAATGGAAGGGGTCTTGAGCGATGCTACAAGCAAATGAAAAAGGGTCATCGGCGGTACGATAAGCAAATGGAAGGGGTTGGGCGATGCTACGAACAAATGAAAAGGGTCATGGGCGGTGCGACAAGGAAATGGAAGGGGTCTTGGGCGGTGCTACAAGCAGCAGTGCTATAAGGAAATGGAAGGGGTCTTGGGCGATGCTACAAGCACATGAAAAGGGTAACGGGGGGTGCCACAAGCACAAGCAAATGGAAGCGAATGGAAATGGTCTTGGGCGATGCCGCAAGCAAATGAAAAGGGTCATGGGTGGTGATATAAGCAAATGGAAGGGGTCTTGTGCGGCGCTACAGGCAAATGAAAAGGGTCATGGGCGGTGCTATAAGCAAATGGAAGGGGTTTTGGGCAATGCTACAAGCAGCAGCCGGCCTGGTACACGGTCTGCAATTTGTTCACATCATGCTGTGGTCACAAAACCGTGAGACTGCCATTGTGGCACAGCGACATCGGAGCAGGCGATGTGCGCCCGTCCGCGAGGTGGAGCATGAGAGTGGCTTGAGCACAAATGGCGACCTGCGACTAAATGGCCGGAATTGTTGGCCTTGGCTAATCTCGCTTCCAGAAAAGCCTAAGAAGAAGCCTTCGATTGAACATTGCCTCTAGGGCTGATTATGGTACCTGCAGGCTGATTTCAATTCCTGGAGCTTCCAAACTGGTGGCTCGAGTCCAACGATGAAGGGGGGAAGAGCTCATGTGACGAAGTGGGCGTCCGGATTTGTGGTTGGAAGCGGAGTGGCAATGGGATAGCACCCCCCCACCGGCGTGAGCTACTCGTGTGATCCTTACTCCATGGGTGATCAAATTTGTCCGTCGTGCGCCGCACATACCGCGATGGATTTATGCACCGACGGAGGCCGAACGCCCGATCAGCAGAGGGTTTAGGAATGCCTGAGGCCTTGGAGACCCAAAGCCATGCAAGCATCACTGATAGTTCTAGGAATCTAGGCAAGCGAACCAGCATGAGGGTCTAGAGTCTAGCAAGGCTTCAGGAATATGGGGTTTGAGCCCTCAACATCAAACTCGGTTGCGAAGGTCTGCTTGCAACCCTTGCTTCCGAAAGCTGTGCCAGTGGGATTGTAACCAGGCTTGAAGGGAGCGAGCTCACAACATTCCAGCTTTGCCTTTTGTCAGCTGCTTCGACAAGCCAACGCCTAGGTCAAGCACCTTTGGCCTGTAAAACCCCCACACCACTCAGTGGCATCTGAGACATGTAGCGTGAAGCATGAGAACTGACAGCGAGCCTTTGGCTGGTGTCAGCAGCCTTTGCAGAGAACAAACAAATTAAAACTCCAATTGTGGGAGTTTCAGAATTGTATTTTAGGGGGGGTCCCTAAGCAACTGATCGCAGTAGGTCGATTGGCTAGAGGACGACACTAAGCGTTGCTAGAACAAGCTCATCGAAGAGCGTGGAAGCAGTGTGAGCTCGGTTGCCCTGCAGGAACGTGTCCAGGCGATGCAGCACGAGATCCTCCCAAGTCGATGCAGGGCATGCCGCAACAGGCCCAAGCTTGCAAGTTCTTGGGTTTAGGGTTTAGGGTTTAGGGTTTAGGGTTTAGGGTTTAGGGTTCAGGGTTCAGGGTTCAGGGTTCAGGCTTTAGGGTTTAGGGTTTAGGGTTTAGGGTTTAGGGTTTAGGGTTTAGGGTTTAGGGTTTAGGGTTTAGGGTCTAATTAGGGTTTAGGGCTTAGGGTCGCTCTTGATAGGATATTCAGGAATGTGGCAGCCTGAAGGTCAGGGCTTGGGGCGAAGAGCTTTCGGCCTAGGATGAACACTTAAAACTTCCAGCATGACGTAGCGGCTCTTCATACACCCTCAACCCTACGCCCAAATCTTGAACCCCAAGCCTAAACCCTAGACCGAAACATCAAATAAGCCCCCCCTCCAAACGAACAAAGGATCATCCTGGAGACCCACATTGAAGCCGTCCGGGTCAGTGATTTTACTGAGGACCAGGTCCTGGCTGGACGCTGACAAGCGAGCCCTAGGCGAATCGTGCGCGAACCTAAGAGCATTGTGAACAAAGTTGCTCTGACATGTCAGCCCTGCCCTCGTCACATCACGCACCCTTTCTCCCATGAAGGAGACCGCGCTTCCATCAAATAGTTTAGTTTTTTGCGCCCTTCTCCACTCATTTTCACGCTGCCGCGACGACAACCATCGCTCATCTCGGGTACAGTTGGGCTTTGGGGCCCTCAGGTGCCAGGACGTATTTCTGGCTCTTGCGAGCTGAGGCTTTGTGCTCTCGTTTTTGGTTCGGGGATTTGCGATTTTGTAGAGCATCGGTGCCATTTCGACCAGGGTCCCCGAAAATTATGGACAAACCACCTTACCCTTGACAAACAGAGCACCACCCAAATAGTGACCCGCCATCCTTGTCTGCAGGGAAGGACGCTTCCGCTTGTCTGACATCCAGCCGAGCCAGCCTTTCCGCAGAACACTCCGGTCTGACAAGTGGGCCCTCCTCTCAAACCCGCAGAAAACCCAACAGATCAACTCCTAAAGCGCTCGTTGCAAAAGTGGATTGAGGCCCTCATGAAGCCCACCGACGGCCTGTCCAAGCAAAGGTCGCGAGCTGCCGTGGAGTGAATTTTCATCGCCTCCGGCAGGAAATGCAACATCTCACTACCCACGCACGCATGCGGCAACCGAGCTGCTAAAGAACGGCAGTGCCCTTGTAAGTTGAACGAATTGAACGAACCGTTGAAGCGAGCTTAAGCTCCGAGTGCTCATCAAATGCACGTGCTCTTTGTTGTGGTTCCTCTTTTGTAGCTGGCACATGGCTTCCGCTATTTCAAGTTCCCACCCCTGCCCGACACACAAGTTCCCGGGCGATCTGCCGTGTGCCTGTGGCAGGTGTAGTTCGCGTGCTTCTACGAGCTCAGCCAGGCACCACACACCTTGCTCGCAAGCCCTAAGCTCCCTAAATCTCAAACCCAAACAACCCAGAGATGCCACCAAGAAGAAACAGGTGAGAAAAAGCTGCGCAAACTTCTTGCTACTGCAGTGCTCTGCCCAATTTGCAAGACGCTGTGCTAGTGAAGGAAATACACCAGGTTGTAGCACTGTTTGCAAGTGTCGCGCCTTCGGAGCTTAGCAGTAGCAGTATGTCCCGAAGCAGCCGCGCGTCACGCCCTAGCAGGTCGAAACGCCCGCACCTTGAAGGAACCAAGTCCAACCTTGCAGCCCAGAACCTGGAGCCTCCGAGGCACGTGTGAAGAGGGAGAAATCTGCCTCCAGAGCCACTACCTGCTCCAAGCGAGCCTCGACGCAGAAAATCACAGGCTTGGAGTTCATGATAAGCAGCACTACATCTTGCGGCACTTGATGTCTGGCGTCAATTTTGCAGGCCCATTAAACCGAAAAGTGGGTCCTTGCATGCTTGTGCCTTTCACGTCCTTTCCTAGACCATGCCAGGCGTTGCACCAGTCCGCACTACAGCAAACTCTGTGTACTGCACTCTGCGCTACTTTAGAGACTTCAGATACTTTAGGATCAGGCTACACTAGACTAAACTATTCACGCCACACAGCTAAGCTATACTTCCTATGCGACAGCAGTATCACTTTGCAAAGATTCGAGCTGCAGGGTCCGGGTTCGGGCTGTCAACAAAGTCAAGCGCCAGTTCGACCGCGCTCTGATTTTGAAACCTCAACCCAGACCTCCGCACAAAGTCTACTTCGAGGGTTGCAAGGCTTTAAAGCAAGCTCAACAGATGGAAGTAGGATTTCACGTACTTGATGCTTGAAGCAGTACATTCGCTATCGGGACACCTTGCCCTGGCGACGCAGGGATGTCTTGAGGTAGGCCATCATGTCATCGAACTTGTTCATCTCCTCATGATCATGATAGGGGATTCAGGGTTTCGTCTGGAACTGTACAGCCGAAAAGGCAGCCCTTGCCAATCAATTCATTTTGTTCCGGTTGTGGGGTATAGGGTTGCAAGCCACAGTGTCAAAGACGGTGCTCCTTAAAATAACTACATACTGAATGTTGCCCTTACTGCAATAAACTTCTTCTAGCAATACTTGCTCTTTCTGGTAGGCAGGAGAATGGAATTTCGATCTAGAAGACAAAGTCCAACGGCCCAAAAACTGAGGCCATTTGCCGCCTGGCTTCGCTGAGATCCCCGGTAAAGTGCTTCTCGGTTGAACAGCCGCAGGGGGTAATGGCATGGCCCGTTGAGTCCGCTGGTGGCGGGGTCGCGCAGATGCCAGTGTGCTGATTCACCTCTGGGAGTTCCGCTTAGTATTGGAAGTCTAGGGTTTCACAGGGCCCGCGGGCTTGAGCATCTACCGCCAGGGCGTTTTGAGGAGCAGGAGGGTAGGAGGGTTATTCAGGATTGTTCTAGGGCCGCCACCGAGAAGGCACAGACCCAGTAGCGGACATCCAGCTTCTTCCTCTTCCGCAAGGCCTGAAAGCAGACCCAGGGTTCAGGGTTTTTGGGGTCTAGGGGACTAGGGTTTAGGGTTTTAGGCAGCCTTCACGAGAACAACTGCGGTGTAGAGCTTAGAGTTTCGAGGGTCTTGGGGTTTTTGGCTTGGGGCTCGAATGCTAAACCCTAAACCCTAAACCCTAAAGCCCAAACCCTAAACCCTAAACCCTAAGCGCCAGGGGAAACATACGGTGCAGCAGGCCTCGGCCAGCTTGAGAAAGTTGCGTTCGGCCAGGTCCTGTGCAAGCTCGAGGTACATCTCCGCCTCCTTGCGGTTTAGGGTTTTAGGGTTTAGGGTGCAGGGTCTAGGGTTTAGGGTTTAGGGTTTAGGATTTAGGGTTTAGGGGGTTTAGGGGGTTTAGGGGGTTTAGGGGGTTTAGGGGGTTTAGGGGGTTTAGGGGGTTTAGTGGGTTTAGGGGGTTTAGGGGGTTAAGGGGTTTAGGGGCTTTAGGGTTTAGGGTTTCGGGTTCAGGGTTTAGGGTTTAGGGTTTAGGGTCTAAGGTTTAGGGTTTGGGGGAAAAGTGTTTACCCTTCGAAAAGTTCAATTTACTCTCGTATCCTCCGATTTGTTGTTGGTCTATGGATAGCCTTACGATTGCTGCTCAGGTTATGCACCCTAAACCCAAAACCCAAAACCCTAAACCCTAAACCCTAAACCCCAAACCCTAAACCCTAAACCCTACAAAACATTGGCAAAAAGAAAGTAGGCAGACGCGAGTATCCAAGGCATCAGCAAGGATTGCGGCCAAGAGGTGGGCAAACTTGTTCCTGGGATCCAAACAGGGTGCACCCTAACCTGAGCCCTAAACCCTAAACCCTAAACCCTAAACCCTAAACCCTAAACCCTAAACCCTAAACCCTAAACCCTAAACCCTAAACCCTAAACCCTAAACCCTAAACCCTAAACCCTAAACAAAAGAAAGCAGAGTGCCCAGGTTCCGCCAGCTATGCGTAACCATCTTGACTGCCAAGTGGGCCCGGCCGCCACTGACCACTGTGGCATAGGCGTACCCCCTGTACACGGCTTCCTGATTGCCGGTTTAGGGTCTAGGGTTTCGGGTTTAGGGTTTAGGTTTTAGTCTAGTGTTTAGGGTTTAGGGTTCAGGGTTTAGGGTTTAGGGTTTAGGGTTTAGGGTTTAGGGTTTAGGGTTTAGGGTTTAGGGTTTAGGGTTTAGGGTTTAGGGTTTAGGGTGGTTGCTCTCTTCAGGGTCATATTCACTGAAACTATGCTATGGTACCCTGTCTTTTGCCCCGCCTCCTCCTGTTCTGCCAGAATCCCTCGCGAAGCATTGCGGGCAATCTTTCTTGGAGTGAAGCCGGAACGTACCGTGGTAAGCTCGTCCACGTCGGCCGCATCCTTTGTGGGCTTCGTCAAGTTCAATCCTTTACAGGTCCCCAACACAATGTGTACGACATTGTCTGAATTCCGAAGTATTGTCGGTGCCCGAAACACGGGACCGACATTTTGACAAGTACGTTCCAAAAATGACGCACTTTCATGGAAGGACGAAAGGCGAGCAAGTCATGAATCAGACCGCAACAATCCCCAGGTCTAGCAGACTCAAGCACATGCAATATCATGCAATGCAACGACCGACATCTCGCCGGGATACGCCAAGGTCGACGTGACTGGTCATCTGCCCCTGCACGGATGCAATCCCAGATGTCGATCCAGAAATACTCGTGGCGTGCATGGCCTGCGTGACACAGGCACGCATCCCACTCAAACTTGGCTGGAGCGTGGCATGCTGTGACAGACCTCCTACAAGTACAGCTGGCTCTGAGCGTGTCTGATATCTCACCTCATGTTGCGGTGAGGACTGCGACCTAGCTCAGATTCTGCTACGGCGTGTGGCACCTGAGATTCTCAACCTAGAAAGGGGGTTCACTGGATGTTGGGTTGCTCGTCCAAAGTGTGGGGAACACTATCCCGTTAAACGCGTTTCGATTCCAAAGCCACGCTCGAAGCAAGAGTTTGGGGGGTTTGGTCAGCCTCAACCCTTCTCAGAAACTTCGGCAGAGACCTGCCCTGCGAAGGCCCCACCTCCTCTAAACCAGGGCAAAATCGACATTGGAGTCGCTCTTCGTTTGGAGCAAGCGTTCCTAGTGTTCAGCCGTCTGGATAAGGAGATGACCTCGATGGGGTTTCACGATTACGAGACCTTCAGCTACGAAACCCCTACAAAGAAAACTCATACACCCCTTCAATCCCAAACCTCGGAACCTAGACAAAAGTTTGAGGTTAGGGGTCCCTGTAGACCAACAACCCCAAACCCACAACCCTAAACCCTAACCCGAAACCACAAACCCTCCAACACACTTCTCGCCTCCTTCGCCTCTCTGGCTTTTTCGCGGGTCGCAAAAGCTGTGATGGACACCTGAAGCTGCCACTCCTAAGCCCCTTCGGACCCTAAACCACTAAACCCCTAAACCCCTAAACCCCTAAACCCCTAAACCCCTAAATCCCTACACCCCTACACCCCTACACCCCTACACCCCTACACCCCTACACCCCTACACCCCTACACCCCTACACCCCTACACCCCTACACCCCTACACCCCTACACCCCTACACCCCTAAGCCCCTAACCCTAGACCCTACCCCTTTGACCCTAAACCCTAAACACCCCAAAACCAAGAACCCTTGTGACCCTAAGCCCCTTAACCCTTAAGGGCATGATGGTGGGTTCAAGGCTTCGAGCTTCAACTCCAAGGATTTATAGCCTTCATGCTCAGGCATGGCGATTGGTACATGGTGGAAGACGACAGGACTTAGGGTTTAGGGTTTCGGGTTGAGGGCTTAGGGTTGCGTAGTCTGGAGAATTTCTTGGTGGGCATAGCCACCTACCTTGGGTTCTCAGATAGTACACGGGTTTAGGGGTCTCGGGGTTTAGGGGTGAGGGGTTTAGGGTTTAGGGGTTCAGGGGTTCAGGGGTTTAGGGGTTTAGGGCTTAGGGGCTTAGGGGTTTAGGGAGGGGTTCCGGGCACATAGTAAGCCAATTATAACTGCACTTATGACCCAATTATAGCCTTATGAGGGTGCTTGAGGGGCTTATAAGTGGGTTATGACTAGACCTTTAAGTGGTTACTATGTACCCTGAACAGGGCTCCCATAGGTTTAGGGCTTGAGGGTTTTGGGGGGTTTAGGGGCTTAGGAGCTTGGGGGGCAGTCCACCCCTAAACCCCCTAAACGTAGACCCCTAACCAAAAACCCCAACTCCTAAACACATAGGAGCCTTAAGGTTCTACCCCTTAAGTGCCCCAACAGGGTATTCATGGGGTTATAAGTACAGTAATCAGTGGGTTACGAAGTACCCTGAACCTTCAGGTGAGGCCCTAAACCCTAAACCCTAAACCCTAAACCCCAAACCCTAAACCCTAAACCCTAAACCCTAAACCCTATTCTTCCTACTATACTGAGGTTGTGAAACCTAGGAGCCCTGAGGTTGCCCCCTGCGTCGCTGCACTGCTGGTCCACGGTCAGGCCTTGCCAGAAGGTCTCTGCCTGGCGGTCCACATCCAAGCAACTTTAAGGTTTTGGGGTGAAGGTTTAGGGTTTAGGGTTTAGGGTTTGGGGTTTAGGGTTTAGGGTTTAGGGCTTAGGGCTTAGGGTTTAGGGTTTCGGAAACCCCAAACCCTAAACAAACCTAAACCCTAGTAGTCTTCAATAGACGTCCCAGTCGACTTCCCATTACAAGGACGGAGGCATCGAAACAAATCTTCGCCATGCATTTCAACTCCATGACGGTGACAGGCAGCGCAGCAAAACGACTGGTTTTGGACATTAAGCGACTAGCATCAACATGCTAGAACGCGCGCTCGCTGTTGTAATGGGCAACTACCAGGAGTCGACAAGAAGTGTGAAGGTGCCAAGACACGTAACGCGGAACATCGTCGTCATAGCAGCATCATAGCATAGCATATAGCATATAGCATATAGCATAAAGCATATATCATATAGCGTAGAGTAAGAGCTTACAGCATAGAAGCATAGCGCACATCGCATGTAGCATAGAGTATAAAGAATATAACATATAGCAATACAAGAAGGCAACCACGAGATCAGCTAGAATTGCAGCAAGCTTCTGCTGTGTTCTTTCTAGAACACTGAGCTTGGCACGGCCAGGAAGACGCTGCCAAGATGATCGTGGCCGGAAAGGATGTTGACGGTTAGGCTGTCATCGTCATAGAGGTCCTCCAAGATACTGAACTGGGAAAAGGTTCAAGGTCGATCCACTCGACTACACTTCCATCATGCTGGACAAGCTCTACCCACGACTTTGCCACAACTTTTAACCACAACCAGTCAAGCACCCTAAGCCCTAAACCCTACACCCTAACCCCTAAACCCTACACCCTAACCCCTAAACCCTACACCCTAAACCCTACACCCCAAACCCTAAACCTTCTGCAGTTCTGAAATTCACGGAAGCCCCGCTCCTCCAGCAGAAAAGCCTCCTCCCAAACCGGATTCGGGCTTTGGGCGCAAGCCGTGCGGCCCGCGCCCTTCCAAGGCTTCGTCACCGCTCCGGGCCCCTTCACGGCCAGAGTACCTATGGAGCTCATCGAAGCAATTGCGGAACTTCTCAGCTGCTGTGGGATGGAAAACCATTTCACGAGCCTCGCAAACCCACAACCCTCAAAGCTCGAAAAACCGTTGTTGAAACCAAGATTTCACTCAAGGATGCAGTAAGGCTCGGATGCCGACGTGGCATCAAGCGAGGCCTGATGGACCTAGGGGTGGCTCTCCAGTAGGGATGAAGGGCTGAGAGTTTAGGGTTTCGAGTCATATGATCTCTCCGGGGGGGCGGGGGGGGGGGAGGGGGGTGCCTACTCGTACAAATTGTAACAATCCTCAAGTCCATCGGCTAACGACAAAGAAGTGCCTGCACCACGAAGCAGCGCGACTCTCGCAGCTGCAAGGATCGTGGGATGATGGCCTGCAGCGGGCCAGGGTATAGTACATAACCGATGTAAGAAAGGCTTCGTGTTTAGTAAGTTAGTGAGGGTTCTACACAGGAAGGTACTGGAATCGTCTGCATCACATCATTTCATCATACTTCATGTCGCTCAGAGAAACGGCCTGCCGCACAACGTCATGTGTCGTCGACATGACGGGGTCGAAGTGCCTGCGAAGCTGGTGACACACAGCCAAAGATCGCCCTTCACCAACCGAAACCCGAAACCCTAAACCCCAAACCCTAAACCCTAAACCCTAGACCCTAAACCCTAAACCCTAAACCCTAGACCCTAAAGCCCCTTCAAGCTTTGAGCCCGGGCGCTCCATGCTGCCATAGCCCAGGCTGGCGTAGAAGTCGAGCAGCTGCCGGATCGACAGGCCCCGGCCAGCCAGCTCCTGCACCTTCCGATCCCAGACCTGGTGGTGGCTTAGGGTTTAGGGTTTAGGGTTTAGGGTTTAGGGTTTAGGGCGTTTAGGGCGTTTAGGGCGTTTAGGGCGTTTAGGGCGTTTAGGGCGTTTAGGGCGTTTAGGGCGTTTAGGGCGTTTAGGGCGTTTAGGGCGTTTAGGGCGTTTAGGGCGTTTAGGGCGTTTAGGGCGTTTAGGGCGTTTAGGGCGTTTAGGGCGTTTAGGGCGTTTAGGGCGGGCGTTTAGGGCGTTTAGGCGTTTTAGGGCGTTTAGGGGCGTTTAGGCGTTAGGGGCGTTTAGGGCGTTTAGGGCGTTTAAGGGCTTTTAGGGCGTTTAGGGCGTTTAGGCGTTTAGGGCGTTTAGGGCGTTTAGGGCGTTTAGGGCGTGCGTTTAGGGCGTTTAGGGCGTTTAGGGCGTTTAGGGTGTAGAGTTAGGGTTTAGGTTTAGGGTTTAGGGTTTTGGGTTTAGGGGTTCAGGGTTCAGGGTCAGGGTTCAGGGTTCAGGGTTCAGGGTTTTCAGGGTTTAGGGTTTAGGGTTTAGGGTTTAGGGTTTAGGGTTTAGGGTTTAGGGTTTAGGGTTTAGGGCGTTTGGGGTTTAGGGTTTAGGGTTTAGGGTTTAGGGTTTAGGGTTTAGGGTTTAGGGCGTTTAGGGTTTAGGGCGTTTAGGGTTTAGGGCGTTTAGGGTTTAGGGCGTTTAGGGTTTAGGGTGTAGAGTTTAAGGTAGCCTTCTCCGATATCCTGATATACGCCTGTCTAAAAAAGAATATGCAGCTTCGCTGAGTCAAGCAGTCTGCAGAGGAAGATGCTGCAGTGTCGCACGCTGGAGTGCAGGGCAGTAAGGTAAGCAGAGCAGGACAGTACAGTGTGGTGCAGTTGGAGAGGGGGGGAGGATTTCCTTCCTTTTGACAGCCCAACTAGGAAGATGTCGCAGCAAGGATGCAGCCCAGCAACCACCTGTCGATCACTACCAGGCTCAGTTGGCGCGATGCGGGCATCATCGGAGGACCCGCTGGAGGAAGCGAGTTGGAGGTCAAGGCCAAGTTTCTTTGGTGGGATCGGCTCGCCAGAGCGTGCGATGGCCAGTTCGGTGCCGAGTCCGGACAACAAGCAGGCCGTCAATGGTACCTAGGGAGGACGGATGTTAGCCGGAAGCCTTTACAAAGCTGCGAATTGCTGGTAACTAGCTGCGAAACTCGCAAGACGAAGCACGAACCGCCCTATATAGTGCAGACACAGCACGAGCAAAAGCTTTCGCACGATCACTACTGCGAAGGTGAACATCCACTTGAACTCGTCTGCCTCTGCCAAGTCTGCCAGGAAAGCCATGATGACAAGCAGGTAGAAGAATGAGAGGGCGGTGCTAGAAAACCAGAAGCCGAAGTCCTTCGGCAACAAGCTGTGAAAAGCAAAAGCAACAATCAAGCACCAGGCGCACTTCTCTTCTACACGCGTGTCTCATGATACAGAACTCCTCAGATCTACTTATCTACTACACTTTGCACTTGCCCCAAGGTGCTGCATGTCTTACTATGGTGTAAGACCCGGCAGCGTTTGGAGCCCGTCCTTGCAGCGCCGACTGAAGAGCTGCCAGCGCCGATTCCGCCTTTCCCGAACGAAGCTGCGCCATGCGAGGTGGTATTCCAGGCTGCGCGGAAGGAAGCTCAGCATCACGGAAAAGAGCACCACGAAGGTGTACCACCATAAGGATCCCTGTTCGATGGGGCAGTCGGCGGGGCTTCTTGCTGCCACTGCTGAGCCATCAACGGAAAAGAAAAGGGCGACGAAGGCCTCAATGCGTCTCAGGTTGGGAAACATGCAGCTCCCTAGAACAAGTCCGTGGTGCGCTATGGAAAATATGAAAGTAAGCCCACGGCCAATGATCCAAGAATGCAATTCACTGTGATCTTTGCCCTCTTTGCCGACGTCATGTGCAGGTCACACAGGCAAAGCTCGTACACGGGATGGGTCGCCACCTTTGGGTGTAGAGCACTGTTTCGGGTTGAGCCCTGTATAGCCTGTATATATGTAAGCCCTGACCCTTTTGTGAAACACCCCAAAACCTGAAACCCTAATCCGCAAACACTTTGGGGGTTTCGAATGTTTTAGAGCTTGGGGTCGCCACCAGCGCTGCCCACAGTCGATGGCAGCGGGATGTGTGGACTCTCACGAAAGCGGATGGCAAGCTCTCCTCACACAATCTCGGGGCTTCACGCGTACCCTACGACTAGCCCGTGACTGCTACACAGGCATCGATCGGCCAAGATAGGCGCGGGTGGCTGTATGTTTGGGTGCTATGTGCCTGCCGCATTTGAGCTTTCAACGCCCACGAAGGTCCGAGCAGAGCTTTGACAGCATAAGGTCTGCACTGAATCCTCCTCAATCCCCCTCTCTCCTCCATCTGCAGCGCCATCTCCTTCAACAGCGGGGACCTGGATCTTTATCTAAGCCAGGATGCCTAGATCGCCAGGTACATGCAGCGAAGCAGAGGCGAGGAGAGAAACAAAAGGGAGACCCCAGTTTGCCTAGTTGCTCTGCTTGTGGTCGTGCTGGTTTTGCCCTCAGAATGACACGCAGCTTTCGCCCCTCAGAAGCCCAGCCTGCGTCCGGATTCCCATAACTACTCCCGATGGCACAAGGCCATTTCACGAAAAGCACTGCAGCCGTACTCGTAGGATCAACTGGCCAGTCAAAGGGAGTTTAGGGTTTAGGGTTTAGGGTTTAGGGTTTAGGGTTTGGGTTTAGGGTTTAGGGTTTAGGGTTGAGGGCTTAAGGTTTAGGGCTTAGGGTTTAGGGTTTAGAGTTTAGGGTTTAGGGTTTAGGGTTTAGGTTTAGGGTTTAGGGTTTACGGAAATTATTAAGGGTTCAGGTCCAGGGAAAGTTTCGAAGAGTTTCGAGGAGTTTCAAGGAGTTTTGTTTTTTGGGTTTAGGGTTTAGGGTTTAGGGTTTAGGAGTAGAACGGAGTAGCAAGGGGAAAACAGCAGCGGCTGGTGTAGAGGCAGTGGTCATCTGGGGCATGATAGGCAAGGTTCAAGCGTGGCAGAGGTCAGCCGAGTGCGAAGCAGTAATGTGAAGAGCAAGCAGCACGCTTGTCCCCATGGAATGCGGTCGTTCATGGCATACTGCCAAGAAAGCTATAGTTCCTTTTCGAAGCACTGCTTTTTAAGGTGATCCTAGCTGTGGTCGCTGCTGTTCAAATCGTCAGCCGCGGCCACCGGATGCATGTAAAGCTGCTATGAAGAAGCTTAGGCAAAGTGGGTGTTGTTGTCGAGGAGGCAGAGGCCAGAAGAGGCAGTCCCAGGCCAAAAGGGATCAAAAGGCCTGCCTACTGTTCGGGCGAACGCCCCGCCCCTAAATCTTCAACTGCCCTTCTAAACCCAAAACATCCCAAAACCCTCGCCTAATGGGTTCAGACGGTTTGGGGCTTAACAGGGTATACAGCCATGTATATGCCACGCTTTGGAACGCCCCCCCCCCCCCACCTCTGCGTGGCTAAGCTGCCTGGGACCCAGCCCCTCTGGCCCCAGATGTGCATCTCGATGGAGCTATTGTGCAGCCCGTGCCTGCGGGCAGCCTCCCACCTCACAGCCGTAATCATAACAAAGATGAAGAGTATCTTCATGTTGATTTGCTATGTTTTTTTACGAATAAATCGCATTTGGTACAGTAAGTGATAAGATTTGGTAGAGCATGCTTATCGAGTCAATTTGAGTCAGAGTGCACGGCAAAAAGCTTCAAGTTCAGAGCAGCAAAAGCAAGGAATATTGATACAGATTTTTGAGATTACCTAGATCCACCCATAGAAACTTCTCTCTCACTGAGCTGCAGGGTGTTGCGACAGATGGTCTGCTCCTCCAGGCCGTCCATGAGCGTTGGCTTCGCCCTCTGAAGCATGAACTGCAGCTGCATGGGCGACTCTGAGACGATGTGACCTAGTTCATGGTTGGGATAATACTAAAATCTGAAATGGTTATTCCTTATGGGGTTTTAAGTACCCTTAAAGACGTAAAATGTTCCCCAACTATGACACAGTGACGAAGCGACGGAGTGCTGCTGTGGGCCAAGGGCCCCTCCGGCACGGTGGGCGTGGGATGCTCCGGATGCCCCGCGGAATCTTTGGCGCAGGCGATGCAGCGCCGGCAGCCCCCTGGTTGCTTCAGGGAGGGGGGGAGGTCGCCGTGGAAGTACTCATCTCGCCAGAGCCCCGAGCGCCAGGTGCGCGCATCGAGGAGGCAGCCGAAGGCCACAAGGAGGAGCGACAGGGAAAGCAGCAGCCAGAGTCCCAGGGCCGGGGGCCGCGCCCACCAGTCGGTCCTCTCCACGATCTCCTTTATCCCCTCCGGCGTCAACATGTTGGCGTTCCTGCAAAAAAAAAAAAAACTGCCCACATCAGATGCCAATGTAACCACAGCACACCTGCACACATGGCCTCTGGCGACTACCAATTGGTCCGAGACACGTGCAGTCGAGCAGGATGTCGATGAAGACAGCGAAGATGGACAGATGGAGCGTTGCCTCTGTCATCTACTTTCAAACCCATCAGCTGAGACCCTTCTTACCTACCAGTCTGGAAATGTCTGAGCAGTTGTGCTTCCGCTCAAAAAGCAAAGTAAAACACAGCCGCGCGGCGCACCAGACGCCGCCCGAAATGTTCATGGTCGCCAAAGACCCGAAGGCCTTCTGCAGATCTTGCTACGCTTTGACATGCGTTGGCTCACGCCTTGCAAACAGCGGATAACCCCGAACCCCTGCCTGCAGCTCTTCGACTGTCGCCAGACGCACGCCCTGCGTGGACCAGAACTCGCCGTCGAAGTACGCGCAGATGAAGTTCGGCTCGGGCGCCACGTCTGCGACTCGCAAGTAGATGGGCGTCGTTAGCCGGACCTCCCTGACGCTCAACGTGCGCCGGTCGACCAGCGAGGCGTCCACGGCCGGCGCAACAGCCTGGATCGGCCGGCCGGTGTCCGTCCAAACTTTTCCATCGACCAGGCTCTCGGCACGCGGACCGTCCAATGTGGCCACGACCACCGCGGTATCCTCGAGATCTCCCAAGGCCTCGCGAGAAAGAGGCATGCAAACACAAGTGCACATTTCCTCTTGCACAAGGCAAGTCCTGCAAGGAAGGGACTCCGACAGACAAGTTGCACCCGTTGCACCCGATCTTCGCAAGGATTCTCTTCTTTCTCTTTCAGAAATGAGACTTCTGTCAGCAAACTTGAAAAGCTAACTCCCCGGCCTGCTGTAGTGGCTCCATAGGGAGCACAGCTACGGCCGAGCTCCCCTCTGGGCTGATGAGTTCGTAGCGCAGGCTCATTGAAGAGCTGGGCAACCTTGGCAGTAGATCCCAGCCAGCAAACTGTGCCATGCAGCACATTATGTGAGCCACGTATTCCAGAGACAGTGATCCAAGATCATCGTGGAATAGACAAACTCTTGTAGACTGCACCTGTGTCACAACTGCGTTGCAGCATAGCATATCTTGAATACTGCAGTGCGCTTAAGGTATACACCGGTATACTAGATCAACATATTCATCTGTTGTAACACACTGTGTGTTGTAGATTTGTGCCATGCAATGGTCCAGTGCTTCATGCTGGGATTCACGACTCCGTGTTGGAATGCCGGCAAGACCGGGGGCCTTGTGTGTTTACACTAGTCTTGGAATATTCGAGGCTTCAAAACAACTAGCATTCATTCACAAGGGCACTGTGCGGCTCGGCGACAAAAAGGCAGGCACACATGCCAGAGCAGTCATGTGAAATAAACCGAAGGCTTAGAACGTACTGCTCTCACTGAAAGTGGAGTCTTCATCTGGACTGAGCCTAAGGCTGGACAGCTGCCACAAGCCCAAGATCTGTGAAGACAGTCGCTGTCGAAGATTCGTTAGCGGCGTCCGTCAACTGACCTCCGTGGCGGGCTCGGTGACAACAATGCAGGACACTTGAGTGCGACATGGAAAGCACAGGGTAAGGAATTGTGAGTTTGCTACGCTGGGTAATCGGCAATCCCATGAATTACTTGTAGACGATGCTATGCGAAAAACATTACGGAGTTCGATTGCCATTGCCATCCCCTACTTAGCCAACTGCTACCTCAATCAAAGGTGCTGGACGTTTGGGGTGTGGGGGGGGGTGTGAGGGTGTGGGGCACAAGTTGCCGCGGTTCTGGCAGAGGAGCCGGATGAAACTTGAGATGGCTTCTTGCTCCGAGGGGAGAGGTGGTGTTTTCGTAAGCGGAGGCCATTCCAGTCTATGACTCTGATGCCCCTGAATCCGTGGAGCATCCGGATGGCCGGCAAAGTCGGGAATAAGCTGATATACCACCTTTGGACTGCATCCGCACGGTGCTGGATGAGCTTGAATCCTCTCTCTTCGATATGATTGGCCCGGTTGAACACGAGCAGGATAAGATGTCATGGCAGCTTGTCGAGAACCCGGACGCACTTGCAAAACTGAGAAGGCTGGTCGATTGGGCGACCCACTCCATCCGTCCACAGCTGAGCACAATAAATCTTGAGCGATGACACTGCTTGTCGGCAAACTGTTGTCTACAACGATAGCTCCTGCAGCGATGAACAGCGCTGTGATCCAGGAGATGGTGTCTGGTTCCTATGCCTCTGGGCAACCCTGTGGATGGTGCAAGCGCCATCGGGTTGCTGGTTACCAACCAGTTCTTTTCAAATTTGACAACTGTGCTACTGGCTACGCTGCTGGAGGTGCTAGGAAGCTCCCTCGCGTCATACGCGCAGCGCTTTCCTTGCTTTGATGAGCTGCTATCCGATTGCCAGCAGTGTGTATGGGCATGTCCAGTCCCATGCTGGCAATGGCTGGAATGAGTTTGCAGATGTTGCCAAGACGAAGAGGGCTGCTAGTCGGAGTGTTGAGATCTCGGGACCACCACCTGCTGCGGGTGTCATTCGGCAACCAAGTTTCCCTTGGCTGTGGGCTTTGGCCTCTCCAACTGCACTGCTGCAATTAACTTTTGGTCCTGCGGACATGCGTCTTCCGGACGGCGAACATCCAATACCGGCAGCTGGTGAGAGAGCAAGCTGGTGAGAGGGCAAGGGACACCAAAGCGCTGTCATCTCGGTGCGTTTTCTTCGCTTCTCTACGGAGTCGCAAGGTGTCTGGCAATGTGAAGATTGGATTGGCCGAATCTACGGTATGGGTTTCTGCTAGAGAGCCAGGATCAGTGTTGATGAAAATGGTGACCTTCGGTTGATGCGCAGGGCACGGGGGGAAAGAGATATCCATGGACAAGTGGGTTCATGCAGAGCACGATATCCGGTCGACGGGGAGGGTGTGGACAAGGCGGGAGCGTGATAGATCCGCCACACGCCCTCCGCCCGCGCCCTCAGTCTTGTGGATGCATTTAACTTATGCTCACACTGCGGGCACGTTGCGTCTATTCTGCGGGCGTGTTGCATCCATTCTGCGGGCGTTTCCTTTAAAAACCCATATGTTTAGAGCCTCTGGGAGGGTGGGGGGTGCGGTCCATAACGGGCGACCTCATTACATGGTATTTACCGTTTGTGCCAGCGTTTGAGGGATACGCCGCGGGATTTTGTGGGGCTGTGCACTCCAGGTGGGATTCTCTGCGGGTTTTCTTTTGAGGCGGGTACTCAGGAGTCTCTGCAACGTTACTCTGTGGGACTCTCTGGGGTTTGGCACTTCTGGGATCTACTTCGTGCTAGCCTCTGCAGGATTGTGCGGGGCACCCCAGGGATCATCTGCAAGATTCTCTGAGGTTCTTTGAGGGTGGGCAATACCTTGCGTTGCGGGATTCCCTGCGGGATTGCCAGGAGACCGGGCGAGGGGTACAGACCCAAGCGAGGAGAACTGCCAAAGCTTAAACCAACAACTCCTTGTGGGAACTATTGGTGGCAAGCCCGATTGACTGGGATTAGGAGCTTAGCCATCTATTGCTTCGACCGCGCGGCTTACCACTGCCCTGGTACTGTGCTGCAGCTCATTGATGATGTCAGCACTGCTGGCCGCTGTCTTGTTCGCCTGGGCCGTTTGCAAGGCGAAAAAACCCCTGTAGAGTGGGGTGTTTTGGGCATCTGCGCCCGAACCACATGGGGAAAAGATGGTATGAAAAAGAATGCTCATGCTTTCAGACCTGGCCTCAGCGCTGCTGGTAGAGCGTGTGCTTGTTCCGGTGCTTGATGTCGTGCCGCTTATGGTGCTGGTCGATGCGCTTGTAGTGGAAGTCGTCTCGAACGATGGCGCTAGTAATTCAAGCTCAGGGAAACCGAAGCCAGCAAACAAGTTTACACGCGTGCATTGTCAGCATTTGTCTGCGTTCCCAGCTGATTCTAGGAGGCCAGTCTTTGACGTTTCAGCGGCAAGAGGGAGCGAGCGGGAGCGAGCGGAAGAAAGAGGGAGAGAGAGCGAGAGAGAGGGAGAGAGAGGGAGAGAGGGGGAGAGAGGGAGAGAGGGAGAGAGAGAGGCAGAGCGAGGGAGAGACAGAGAGAGAGAGAGAGAGACGGAGGCAGGGAGAGAGAGAGCGAGAGACGAGCGAGAGAGACAGAGAGAGGGAGAGAGAAAGAAAGACAGAGAGAGAGGGAGAAGCTTTCACAATACCAGCTCGACAAGAAAGCCTGAGTCTGTGCCCTGACTATGCGTAGATGAACTGGAATGACGCAAATCCTTGCTGAGTTGTTCAAGGTTCATGCCAGCCAGCTACTATGAAAATATGAGTGCACTACGCCCGATCGAGCCTGACTGACAGATGTCGACGTGGATATGGTTTTCGTCTGCAGAGTTCAGCGTACATGCACCGTCCACACACTCAACGAAGGCAAGAAGGACATTACTAGATCACACTAGATCTGTCAGCTGCTCCTCGACAAGAAAGCCAACGTTCGTGCCATGAATGTGGCTTACACATGCAAAGAGCGATGCACATCTGCCGATCAAGCCTGACTGACCGACGTCGTTGTGGATGTCGTCTGCAAAGCAGCAGGGATCAAAGCAGTCTCTACGCCCTGTGCCTGTTGGTTCCTGTACATAATTACGTAGTACATACACTGTCCACACACTCAATGGAGGCAAGGAGAACATTGCTGCACAATTTCGGGGCGAACACTATCACAATGCTTAGCTCCACAAAGAGCCTGAGTTCGTGCAATGACGATGCATGGCAACATGCATGAAACGGACTGCCTATGCAAATCCTTGCTGAGTTGTTCAAGGCTCATGCTAGCCGGCTATCCTCATGAACACAGTGCACCCTGCCCGAAATATGAAAATATGAGTGCACTACGCCCGATCGAGCCTGACTGACAGATGTCGACGTGGATATGGTTTTCGTCTGCAGAGTTCAGCGTACATGCACCGTCCACACACTCAACGAAGGCAAGAATGACACTACTAGATCACACTAGATCTGTCAGCTGCTCCTCGACAAGAAAGCCAACGTTCGTGCCATGAATGTGGCTGCACATCTGCCGATCAAGCCTGACTGACCGACGTTGTTGTGGATGTAGTCTGCAAAGCAGCAGGGATCAAAGCAGTCTCCACGCCCTTTGCCTGTTGGTTACTGTACATAATTACGTAGTACATACACTGTCCACACACGGCAAGGAGAACATTGCTGGACAATTTCGGGGCCAACACTATCACAATGTGAAGCTCCAAAAAGAGCCTGAGTTCCCGCAAAGACGATGCATGGGCACATAAATGACACGGATTGCCTATGCAAATCCTTGCTGAGTTGTTCAAGGCTCATGCCAGCCAGCTATCCCCATGCGCACAGTGCACCCTACCCGAAATATGGAAATAGTGCACTATACCCGATCAGGCCTGACTGACAGATGTCGACGTGGATATTGTCTGCAGAGCGGCAGGCATGGGAAGAAAGCAAAGCAGCAGTCTGCGCAGCGTACATGCACCGTCCACACACTCAAAGGAGGCAAGAATGACATTCCTAGATCACACTAGATCTGTCAGCTGCTCCTCGACAAGAAAGCCAACGTTCGTGCCATGAATGTGGCTTACACATGAAAAGAGCGATGCACATCTGCCGATCAAGCCTGACTGACCGACGTCGTTGTGGATGTCGTCTGCAGAGCAGCAGGGGTCACAGCAGTCTGTGTGCCGGTTGGTTACTGTACATAAGTACGTAGAACATAGTGTGTCCACACACTCAAAAGAGAAGATTGCTGGACAATTTCGGAGCCAACACCATCACAATGCTTAGCTTCACAAAGAGCCTGAGTTCGTGTAATGACGATGCATGGCAACATGCATGAAACGGACTGCCTAGTTGTTCAATCCTCATGCCAGCCAGCTATCCCCATGAACAGTGCACCCTGCCCGAAATATGAAAATACGAGCGCACTATGCCCGATCAAGCCTGACTGACAGACGTCGACGTGGATGTTGTCTGCAGAGCGGCAGGGATGGGAAGAAAGCAAAGCAGCAGTCTTCGCAGCGTACATGCACCGTCCACACACTCAACGAAGGCAAGAAGGACATTACTAGATCACGCTAGATCTGTCAGCTGCTCCTCGACAAGAAAGCCAACGTTCGTGCCATGAATGTGGCTTACACATGCAAAGAGCGATGCACATCTGCCGATCAAGCCTGACTGACCGACGTCGTTGTGGATGTCGTCTGCAAAGCAGCAGGGATCAAAGCAGTCTCCACACCCTGTGCCCGTTGGTTCCTGTACCTAATTACGTAGTACATACACTGTCCACACACTCAATGGCGGCAAGGAGAACATTGCTGAACAATTTCGGGGCCAACACTATCACAATGCGAAGCTCCAAAAAGAGCCTGAGTTCCCGCAAAGACGATGCATGGGCACATAAATGACACGGATTTGCCTATGCAAAATCCTTGCTGAGTTGTTCAAGGCTCATGCCAGCCAGCTATCCCCATGAACGCAGTGCACCCTGCCCGAAATATGAAGTACGAGCGCACTATGCCCGATCAAGCCTGACTGACAGAAGTCGACGTGGATGTTGTCTGCAGAGCGGCAGGGATGGGAACAAAGCAAAACAGCCGTCTGCGCAGCGTACATGCACCGTCCACAGTCCACACAACGAAGGCAAGAAGGACATTACTAGATCACACTAGATCTGGCACACACACACACACTCAGATTTCTCCTGAATCGGCTTCGAATCAACGTGCAAAAATCCTGTGCACAAGTCCTCATCAACGTTGCTCTAGAGGATGTTGGGATAACATGTCTTTGAGCAGGTACACAAGGGTGATAAGCCCTTGCTTCCGGCTGCTCATGAGATTCCATGTGCTTTGTTAGGTAAGGTCTGGAATCTCATGCCGTGCACCCCTGCAGGTGAGACAAATCTTCTAAGCTGTAAAGACGAGCAGAATCCCATTTTTCTCAAGGTGGCCACACACACATACCGTAGATAAACGTGAATACATATGTATGTATGTATGTATGTAGGTATGTATGTATGTATATGTATGTACATATATGATCATTTATGTATGTTTACTTCTTTATTTATCTATTTATTCATTTATTAATTTTCCCCTTTATTTGTTTTTTTTGTATTCATTTATGGTATTATCTATGTATATACACACACACACACTTAATTCTTCGTGCATCTGCTCATCTTGATTGCTTCTCTTCTTGCTTGTCTCAGCTAACTATGCACATATGCGCGTACGTAATGAATGATTCATATGGATGCCGGATGATGAGGCGCGATTCTTTGAAGCAAGCTCCTAAAAACAGCGCGATGGAGCGGGAGGGGCTGCAGCCCCCCATGTGCAACCCTCCCTAATTTGCAAATCCAATGCCATGCTCACATGATGGGCTTGGAAAGCATTCACATGCTTAAGAAGGCTGGGGGCGGGGAGGGGGTGATTTGCAAAACAGATAAGCTGGGGGGTGCGAAGGAAGAGGGAGGGGGTGTTGGGAGGGGAGGGGGGGGGGCGCGTTGCGCTGCTTTTTACACTGCGGGTGCAGGGTTGACCCGCGCCAGGTCACTCACTCACCGGGGCGGTCCCCGACAAGACACCCACAGCAAAAAAGCACCCATAACAAAAAAAAACGGGCTCCTTTTCAGTGGCAACCGCGGCATGTCAATGCTTAAGATCGTGCCAGATTTCATGTATGGGAGCGGATTGCAGGATGACGAATCTTACTTCAAGCTGCTGCAGCACCTCTGTATACTACTACAGTGCACCTTACTGTGCGACAGCCCCAAACCCTCAACCCTAAACCAAGGATCAGGCCTGCGTGCTGGACACCGACGTCGTGGTCGTTCCCTGCTGAGCGGATCGGAAGGATCGGAAGTAAGCAATGCCTTGGGAGGTTCCCCGTTATACTAACAGTCCTAGGGACAAAATTAGGGGGTACTATGATCCCTATTGAGGACTGTTCGTATAAGGCGGAACATCCCAAGCAATGCCCCTTGAGGCAGCAGTACGCGTGCATCGAAACACTCGCTGTGCGGCCAAGTCTAACCTCTCTCAGCCGCTTCTGTCACGATCTCGAACTTCTCTCTTGACCCCTCTATTCAGTATCCTCCCCCTTCCAGCAGCGAATCGGAATTTCGGAAACTGCCTCTGTTGGAACCTTAGACATGAAGGGGCTTAAAAGGGTTGATCCAGTCGCCCCCTAGACGCCTAAATGACGCACGTCTAGACGCCCTCAACTCACGCTTGCGACCTTGAGGACTCTAGGTGCCGGTTTTTGTGGGCTAAGGGCAAAATCTGCAGACATTCCTATGTGCCTCTTCTGCTTCAGGCTAAGTTGCTAAGTTGCTAAGTTGCATTCCCTGCTGGTGATACAGCTGATTGCAGCTGCACTGGGTGAAAACTGGCAGCGGAATGCAGCGGAGAGCTGCCGTAAAAAGAATCCACAAACATCTGCTTGCAAACTGGCGCGCAGCTTCCCTCCTCAAATTGCCCGGCAACCTGGTGAGGCCTTTCCCCAGATCCCTCTCAAGCGCTGAAGCGCAAAACGGGTCCGGGGTGGAGGTGGAGGCATTCCCGTGACCGGCCTGGCGCTCGTAGAAATACAGATCGTTGACATAGCCTCAGGACTCACCATCAACGTGGACTCAGATATGGACTCAGATGTGGACTCACATATCACTCACATGGACTCACAGCGGCTCCCAAACTCGGCCCCGAGGCCGCCGTTATCGCCGCCAAAAACCAGAAAGCCATCGGCACTCTGGCTGTAGGCTGCAGCGTGCCCCCAGCGGCCGCTGATATAGCCGCTCGGGCTCAGCTGGCTCCAGCTGTTGTCCTCGCACTCGCACGTTTGGTTTTTTACGTCTTGCTCGGTTTCCGGCGTTCATCTCCCTCCTCGACTGTATACAATCACTTTCTGATCCGGAAGACACCGATCACTTGCCATACACTGCCCAGCCTGGCGCTTGTAGATGTGCAGGTCGTTGAGAGAACCTGCGCTCAGCTCGGACCCTCCTCCCCGCCCAGCTTCAGCTCCGAATGCTCCAAACAGCTGAGGACGCTGCTGGCACCGCTGAAGCCACCAAATACCAGGAGGGCATCTGCAGTCTCGCTGTAGGCCCCCGTGTGCCAATAGCGAATCGCGGGTGCCGTGCCGCTTGGGATTATCCGCACCCAGTCAACATCCTCAGCCGCGTGACAGGACTGCAGCACACATCGGCGTCTCCTCTTCCGCACCTGTACACAAGATAGTAATAGTCATCGTGATAATGACAACAACACAAATGTATTAAACAGTATGGAACAGTGATGAAACTCACAGTTTGTCAATTATTCGGAGTACTGGTGACGCAGAGGCAGTGTTCGTAGAAAGTGCTCACCGTGCTCACAGGAACAGCACGCGAGATCTTGGACTCTGAATTCCAAGCTCATGTCTGGCAACTTCCGATGTGGTCACCACACAAGTTTTGCGCGCTGCAGCTATCTCTTGCATTCTGCTGTCACTTTCCGCTTCGCCGAGCCGAGTTGAATTTGGACTGAAGAAACTCGAGAGCTGCCTCTAGCTGGAGTTGTACTTGTAGCCTCCTGCACTCTAGACATCGTGTGGAACATGGAGGTGCCCCCAGACTCTGCCAGGTTGCCTTGCTGTTGTAGATGTACAGGTCGTTGAGAGCACCTCGCAACGCTCCCATACCCGGACCCTTCCTTCCCCGCCTTACTGCTGGTTAGCAGAGAATGGGGGGAATAAGGTACCAGACATCATCCCTTAAAGGGTACATCGGTTTATATGTGGTACCTTATTCCCCCATTCTTTCTCCTAACCAGCAGAAGCAGCTCCAGCTCCCGAGGCGCTGCTGGTATCAAAGCCACCGAAGACGACAAGGCCATCGGCGGTCTTGCTGTAGGCCGCGGAGTGCGAATAGCGGGCGCTAGGTGCCGAGCCAGTCGGGCTCAGCTGGGTCCAGCTGTTTCCCTGGTGGGGGAGGTGGGGGGGCATCCCAAAGCAAAGGCCATGACATCAATGGAGATTTCAAAGGTTCTTTTTTCGAACATGGCCGCATGTGGCCCGCTCCCTCCTTTGGACTTCCTTCTGATACTCTCCTGACCTCGAAACTTCCCGAAACCCGAGGGAAGCCGACAGCAAAGCGGCATGCGCGCGTGCCTCACGACATTGCCGACAAAGCGTCTACATGTAGTAACTGGAAGTTGCATTTGATGGACTGCAAAAAAATGTGTTCGAGTCTCCTGGCCTGCATGTTCACATGTTCGCGTGTTCACATATGCGAGGGTCTGCAGGCTGGCGCTTTCGCACGTTCGTGTGCTGGCGTCCTCCTCGTGTCCACGGGTTTGCAGATCCGTGGGCCCACGTGTTCACTTTGTGCGTTCGCATGTGTGTTCGTGTGTCCGGGTGTCTCCACGTGTTGGCGCCCAAAATGCTTCAGCTTGTTTGATTATCATAGGGATTGGACACTGTATACGGTTGTGTAAGTCTTGCCAAAAGTCTTCGCGAGTGCATTAAGAAGGTGTACCGCATGGAGGTTTTGAGGGGCCTTAAAAAATGCTCAGAGATCCGGGGCGTTAAGAGAGTTTGTGGTCTAAAAAGGCTGCGGGTGGGCTGTTAATTGTGTTTGCCGCTTGTTCTTGAAGGCTTGAAAACGATTTTGAGTTCTAAGAAGATACATGCAGTCGCTCAACTCATTTGGAATCAAGTTCCTTGATGCGAACGTTCAAACAGTTGATTTGCCAAGCTTTGGCAGCAGTACAAGAAACGAGATATCCGTGCACCGATGGCATGAAGTGTACAAAATGCTCCTCTGTTGGAACTGTTGACACTCACAAGGAACTTCACGCTTCGTTCCCTTTTTCTCGTGTCCTAACTAGTACAGCATGCAGCCGAACACGAGAAGAAGGCCAGTGGTACACACCGTTCGCGCTTTCACGCATCCGCGTGTTCGCATGTCCGTGCGCCTGGCGCGCGTTTAACATGCGTCCGCATGTCTGTGCTACTGCGCGTAGGCGCAGTTGCATGTTCGCACTCTTGCGTGTCCAGGGGATCACACGGTCACGTATTTGCGCGACAGGGCTTCGCGGAATCGAGTGTTCACACGTTTGCGGCCGCTCGCGTTCCGCGTAAGGAGGGTGCGGGGGTTAATGATGCTAACTGATGCACCAAATAGCCACTGCTAACACCAACAGCCAGAAAAGTAGCTACACTGTGTAGCTGTTGGTAGGCCACTGGAACGAACAGGTGCATGCAACGCAGACATGCGCTCTCCCGGCCCAAAAGTCGAAGAGGTGCAGCTCGTCGGACGCGCCTGCTCAACCCGCAGCCCAAAAACAGCTTTCAGCATGTTGCAAGGCCATGTTAGTCAGCATGAGCAAGGCAGCTGGGACGAACTTGAGGCTGTTGCCGCCGGGCACCCAGCCGCCGAAGACCAGAAGGGCATGGGCGGTCTCGCTGTAGGTCGCCGTGTGACCCGAGACGGCGGGCCCAGAGCCGCTCTTGGGGACCACGGAGTCCCAGCGGTCTGCCTCCACATCGGTCCGTGTTTTTAAAAGAACTTTCTTCAAGCCCGAAGAGTCCCAGATCCTTCAAACCTTGCAAGCCTAAGGCCTAAGGAGTGAAGCCCTGAATCAAGAGTGACCTCTTAAGGATACTCAGCGGACAAGCCAGGCAAAGCTGCACTATCTGCACTCAAAGGCCAGTTTCCAGAGCAGTTCATTTGAGTGAAGGCCCTCCTGCATTTCGTAAAAGAGCATGAGAGAAAGACATGCTGAGCCAGGTTGCGAAGCGCTCGTAGATGAGCAGGTCGTTGACATTACCTGGCGCCCCCCAGCCCGGACCTTCAAGCAGCCCCAAAAAGGCTCCTGAGGCCGCTGCTGGTGCCATCATGGCCGCCGTAGATATAAAGGGCGTCGGTGAAGTCGCTGTAGGCCGCGCCGTGGCCATAGCGGGCGCTGGGTGCAGAGCCACTCGGGCTCGGCTCGGTCCACTGGTTGGCCTCAGGGTGCGCAGGTGGGCCCTCGAGCTGAGCTGAGGTTTTGGTGCCCGACTACTCCTCATGCGCCTGTTCCAGAGAGTGTACTGAACCCCTCCTTTACGGACTTCCGAACTCTCAGGTGGGCTTTGGTCGGAGGCCTTCCTATCTCCATAAAAGAAATAAAAGAAAAACGAAGGGGCGAAAACCAGATCCTCTCCCGCCTGGCGCTCGTAGATGTACAGGTCGCCGAGATTTTTGTCTCACGCGGCTCAGAAATGTTCAAAAATGCTCAAAACGAAAAGGGCTTCATGTTGTTTGTGTTGCATATGTGTGTTTGTGTGTTTGTGTTTGTGTGTTTGTGTGTTCGTGTGTTTGTGTGTTTGTGTGTTTGTGTGTTTGTGTGTTTGTGTGTTTGTGTGTTTGTGTGTTTGTGTGTTCGTGTGTTTGTGTGTTTGTGTGTGTGTGTGTGTGTTTGTTTGTTTGCTTGTTTTCGGTTGGAGCTCACGGTCTGCAGTGTGGGCTTGCATCGGGCCTGGCGTGTCAGCCTTTACGACGGGTCCCTCGGGTTGAATGTGGAGCGTCAAGAACGCAATTGCAAGCAACATGCATGGTCAGCTCGATCTGAGGGCAAGCCCCAGAAAATCCGAGTGGCTGCCCTAGCCCAGAGTCACGCTAAACCCTAAACCCTAAACCCTAAACCCTAAACCCTAAACCCTAAACCCTAAACCCTAAACCCTAAACCCCTAAACCCTAGTCTCAACTGTCGCAGTCTCACCTGCCCGGTGGCCCCTTCAGACGTCGAGCCCTACAAGGCCCCCAAGATCTCCGGAAGCCCACGAGTCCAAACCAAACCCTCAATCCCAGAGCAACATTAATAGTCATACTAATCACAATAACTGTAACAATAACAATAACAATAACAATAACAATAATAATAATAATAATAATAATAATCAGTATTATTAGTATAATTATAATTATAGTATTGATATTAATATTAATACTAATATTATTATTAATATTAACAATAACAATAGCAATACGAATGCAACGTAATAATAAATAAGACGAAGAAGAAGGACTCCGATTCTACACTGACCGCAAAACTGCGCTCGGTGGCACCTCCGGAATCCCTGCCGCCGAAGACGAAGAAGGCATCGGCTGTCTCGCTGTAGGCTCCGGGGAGTCTGTAGCGCCCGCTGGGTGCCGAGCCATTCGGGCTCAGCTGAATCCAGCTGTTTGCCTCACTGCAAGGTTGGCCCCACACCTCATCCTCCCTTTTCCGCCCTGTTTTTTTTGGGGCATTTCTTTCGGCATCCTCAACAGCTCTCGACCTCGTGAACTCCCACTGATCGCGGAGCCATCTGACGCTTACAGCGTCGTGGTCACTCATGGCTATAGCCTCCTACATCGCATGACAGCAACCGGCATTCAGGCAAACCCCTTCCCCCGAACTGCATGCTGCCAGATGCCACTTGCGTCAATGCTAGAACATGGTGGCCCATGCTAGAACATGCTAGAAAAGGCGGCCTGAGCAAGCACCACGAGGGACGCAAACCTTGATTGACTGGAGGAACTCAGGACATGCATAAACATGATTCAAACATCTGCCGACGCTAGGGCGCCGGCAAGGATATGGAAAACCCTGGCATCCGTGGAAGCCCGTGATGTCTGCCATGCCCCTCGCAAGATACTACAAATGGCTGCGGAGCAGCGCCATGATGCACCATGGTTATGCATGTTGAACAAGAGCAAAGAAAGCTTCACGCTGCCCTCCTCCCTCAAGCGGTTCCTGTGTAAAAGCATCAAACCAAGCAGGCTTCAAACCGAACAGTCAAAACTCCAACAAGGGCAGCCGGAAGGGTCTGGAGGGGACTGATCCGTTTCAGGCCGACCAGAATTACTTTGTGCCCCCAACGCGCCCTCTTGTGAGGTAGTCTGTTCTATTCTGTGCCGGCACGTTTATGAGGAGCTTATACCCCAGCAGCAGATACAACTCTGTGGGTTAGTTCGTGATCTCTTACAAGTCCGGTGGCAAAGCTCTCGCCAAGTTCCGAGATGTTAAGGCATGTGCATGCAAAGCCTCAGCAAGGGAGGACACCGAAGAAAGGGGACAGATGGCGACCCCGTGACCGCGTGCCCTTAACTCCATCACAAGGGATGCTCGTTTACGGTTCAGAGACCATAAATTGGGGCTCCTATACTTTTGCCCGCGCGCGCTAAGAACCTGTTATCCCCACATGGCTTGTGCTTCACAAAGGATCCATGTACACACGTAACCCCATGTAGTGTAGTCTGTCTAGTGTTGCGGTCCAAATACCCAGAAGGTACCTGCATCCTTTGGGCTTCCAAGACTCCAAATCGAGCGATGAGTGCTTCATGTCCTCCTTTCGAGAACACATCTTCCACAGTTGGATGTAGCCAGGCCACCACTTTTTGTGGCGTCTGGCACATTGCCTAGGGTGACACTTATCTAGGCGACCAACATCTTGTTGATCCGGCAGCCTGTTCCAACCCTGAACCTGCTACAGTAGTTTCCAGCTTCTGTCCGCTGATGGAAACTACTGCAGTAAATTGTGGCTCACCCGCCTCAACCCTAAACCCTAGAACCTAAACTTCCTAAACCTTTCACCCCAAATCCCCAACCCTAAAACTCCTGGAAATCAAGGCTATGAACAAGCTGGGCGTCGGAGGCTCATCACGTGTTTGCATGTGGTGCTGCCCACACCCATGAGAAGTCTATAACAGGGACCATATGATAAAAATCCGCTCCAATACCCTTCAATGAAGAAATATGCCCTAGATCGTTGGAAGGACAAATTAGAGGCTCCATATATCCATATGACAACTCTGATACAGATGTTAATTTGTGGTGGCAGTACTCTTGCATTTGCAGCCCGCCATTGTACAGTGGGGCATGCGGATCCTCTGCGCGAGGAAGGGAGAAGTCCAATTCGAGAGCCGCCCTGGACTTGTAGCTTCGACGATACACGTTATATGGAATCCCGTGGTACGAGAACATCTGGCGGGCGCTCGCAGAAAGCTGACCTAGTGAAATGACCTGAACAGACTCCCATGCGATGTGTCCGCGATGACAATGGACCTCGACGCAACAGCAGGGAACGTTCTGAATAAGAGTCGCACGGCTGACAAGAATACTCTCCCCACAATTCCGACTACAACAGTGACTAGCTCGAGAATCACGAGAAACAAGAAGAAGAAGAAGAAGAAGAAGAGGAAGAAGCACCTAGGGCTGAAGAAGAAGAAGAGGACTGAAGAAGCGAAGAAGGCCTTGAAGAATTGTAACAAAAAAGCGAGAAAAGAGGCATGGGCATGCAAGCACTGACATCCCAATGCTGATACCACAAGTACATGAAATCTAGAATGCACATTCCGATTCATGGTTTACATTGCCAAGTACAGGCAGTCCTGATAAGAATGTTTTTTGGGTCCCCGGCTGCGCAGCGCTGCCTCCGTGCTCCTGCCCATGTGTCAAAGCCCGGGGTGCCTTGCGATTCACAAAACATGACAGTTGAGGGGTAGTCAACCCTGAAGAGGAATCCTGAACCCTAAGCCCTTAAGGAGGAATCCGGATGCGTTCGCCATTGGCCCAAGCTCTTTGCCTCAAGCTTTGCGAAGTCGGTTTCGCTCACAGGCAGCCTGCAACAATGCAATTTAGGGTGCAGAGTCTTGGGGGGTGTGGCTAGTAGGATAAATCCGGGGTTAGGATTCAGCATCTAGCCAGCTTGCACAAAAGCCCAAAGCATGTAGCCCGTCAAGCCCCGAGCCCGGTCACCACGGAACCCCGCGTGCTAAACTCCAAACATCATCCACACAGAAAGTGCTCGCACGCTCCGCTGAGCATCCGCCTTCTTCTTTCGATCCTCCGCAAGCAGCGTGGCCAGAGTTTACTTCTCAGGGCTTTCCAGCTTGAGATTTGCACTGCCCAGGTTCTGTCAAGAGGAACATCCCCGGCCCTGTCATATTGCATGAGTGTCGGCAAAGGCGCCAGAACTAGAACTCGTGGAACTTACGAGGCTCTCAGACATTGTTATGCGTGCGCAGCAGTTTGGGAAGTGTGTTCAAGAAGTTGTGCAAGTGGGGTGGGCTTTGTCGGTTCGCGACTTGATGGCAACGTTTTTGCCAACACGTTGCTGGGTGTCCGCAGTGTGAGTACGCTGCACGCAGAACATGGCGAAAGAGGTTGAAGCGCAAAACCGTTGTTGAATTTCTGTCATGGCAAAAACACATCTGATAGAACCACCAGCGATCCCTATTCCGACAGAATGCCAGTGCAGTGAACTCGACATCCTAGACCTTGAAACCCTGCATCCCATGCGCCTTCGCACGACTCTTGCGTGTGGCGCTTGTGTAGGCCGCCACAGCAGGCGAAGATGGCCTAGGATGCTGCTGTCGCTGAACTGCTTGGCCTGATATGGGGGCTTCCGAAGTTGGGGGTACCTTCTTGGGGTCCTTGTTTTAAGGGAATCCGGGGGCTACTGCTAAACCCCTTATGTTCGTAAACTCCCATAGATGCAGAATCTGAGCGCCAGTCAGGGCAGCAGCGGCCCTGAAGACGGATCTGGACGCCGTGCCTTTGATGTGGGTGAAGTCCTCAGGGCGCCTTTGCAATCAGAGCGGCATGTCACAGCCTGAAATTGGGCTCGAGCTCCGTCTTGATTCTAGAGGGCATCGTGGAGGATTTCAGCGTTTCACACGACAGGCGTGGGAAGCATAGTGGATCTAGGTCAGAAGGGCTGAGGTTCGAACGTTTGATCAATCACCGCGGCTTCCGTGTTCACCTGGGAGAAACTCGAGCTTCCCGGTGGCTTTGAGACAATGCCGGCAGAGGTGCAGCACCAGCGACTCCAGTTTAACAAGAGCACGGGGAGAAGCGTAAACGGTTGCTTTTTTGAACGAGAACGCATGTAGAGCTGCATCATGAGAGGAACTACGCAGGTCTCCGCTGAAGCACTCTCGCGGCCGCAATGATAGCGGCATGGATTTCGCTATGGTAGCAGCTCTAAGCGTTGGGCGTGCCGGACCATTGTTTGACTATTGTTGTGGGTCTGTTTTGACCAGAGCGTGAATGTCAGAAAGCGTCATGGCAATCAAATCACAATGGTTGGAGCGCTTAGCTCACATCCGTCGTCAGAACCCTGCTACCTTCATGGATCCTCTCTTCCGCTCAATCTTACACAAGGTTCTGGAGATGCTAGAAGAAGCTAACCCTAAATTGGTATGGATTAGCCTTGATAAGGACCTGCGAGAATGCAACACATGCTTTCGACAGCGAGAGCTCGGCCTTTGGCGAGGTGACGATATCTCCTGCGCCCGGGAAAGGGCGGTCTTGGGACTCGGGATCGACGAAAGGGGCTTGGGTCACGGATTCGCGTGACACTGCGTTTCTCGAAGGCTTCCTGCTCCTACCAAACTTGTGATCCCATCCTCTCTTTCCCCAAATGCCAATGAGCACAAGAGGGAGCTCAAGTTCGGAGCTGTCCGAAACAATTCGTCCTGAAGACATGCTGCTCATGCGGGCCACGCCTGTGATCTTGGCAACTGGATCCTGCGGCGCAAGCATGTGTTATAGGCCATGGACACTGATCTGACCTAAGCAGCCGAAGCAGCATGAAGCTGATGCTAAGGGCAGGGGTGGCTGGGAAGAGCTGTGTCCGGCTTAATTAGTCGTGCTTCTGTAGAATGAGACGTGCTTTTCCCCAGATGTTTTCATCGTTTTCAATGCTGTGGTTTCCAACCAGCTTCATCGAGACAGCTTCCTCTACGCTTGACAGGTACAGATTCGGTAATGCTCGGATCTAAGGCCTGCGCCAGTCGGGTAGTAGCAGGTATAAAATGCTTTGCAGGAGACTTCAGGCCAAGACTGCAATTTGCAAAACATGTCCAGGAACGTGATCTGGTGAACACGAGGATCCGAATCTCAGACGTTTGACCCTTAATTCGGATTATGGGAGGGCTCAGATGCTTGCGATGTGGGAATGCGAAACCGCGCGGCGGCCCCTTTGCTCTTCAGAATCTGATCAAGCCCAAGAACGCCAATGCCTTTCAGAAGCCATTGCAGTTTCCATTGAGACTCAAGATGCCAGCACGCCATGTAGTCATGCACAAACCCCCCCTTCGTCCGGTTGAGTTTTCGGCTTTCCCCCTCAAAAACCAGGGCGCCTGATTGCTTCGGTGGCCGAGGAGGATGGCTGTTGGTGCTGGCGCGTAAACTGTCCCGGAGTTCTCAGCGGGTGCCACCTCGGGCTTGGACTTTGCTGGGAATTGGGCATACAGCTGCTGATTGTAGGCCGCAGGTGTCGTAGTGCGAAGATGATGGTTGTACTCAACCCAAAAACCTCCAAAAACTCACAAACTGATCCGAAATCTATGGCTTCACGAACATATTCACGATGCAATGCCCCTTCTCTCTACGAAGGAAGTCGATGCTGCAAAGCTCAACACGTTACAATCCAAGTTCAGATCTGGCCGCTCTTGTCTTTATCGTTGTCCTTCTATGCTTGGGTCTCTCTTAGTCTTGTGCCCAGCTTCTACCACAACATTACAGTCACACACAGTCACACACACACACAGACATAGAGACAGAGAGACAGAGCGACCGAGATCCAACCCAGCCCCAACAATTCCAAGAAGCTTCTGCCTCCTGCATCAGCCTCGGCTTGCAGTAAATCGTGCCTCTTTC